CTTATTATGGCATTGAGTAATTCCATGGAGGGGATCGCTTCGCATTGGTTAACACAAATCTCCTATCCTGGCATGGAATGAAATGAGTTTCGAGAATTGTTTCTTCAGCGCTTCGAAGAAGAAGAGACGGTGGCGGCGATGTTTTTCAATTTGCTAAACAGCCGCCCGGCCGATGATAAATGTCTCGCAGTTTATGCAAGTCGTTTAAAAACGTCATTGACAACGAAATGGCGACGAAATAGCCACGAAGAAATCGCCGTTTCTACCGTGCTTGCACACTTGACGTATATCGATAGCCGCTTGCAGCGAATTGTTTTTACTTAAAACGTGCAATCCCGAAGTAAATTACAAACCGAATTCAAAGCGTTCTCTTTTGAGAAGAAACGCCGCGGCTGTCGTGACGAAAACACTGAACAAAAAAAACACTGAAAACGAGGACATAAAGTTGCAGAATGCCGGTCGAAAATGCGTCAAGAGAGAGAAATAAGAGCCAACCAGGGCATGTTCCATGTTGTAAGAGATATGCAATTGAAAAATGATATCATAATCGGGCGAGAGATCCTGAGCCAGGGTCTTAATGTTGTTATTTCATCAGATAAGTTTGAACTCGTAAAATCGAAAAATGTAAGTATTTGTTCTTCAACTAAGCCAACATTTAACTTATCCGACTTAGACACCGAATTGGTCGGTAACGAGAAAGATGAATTAATTAAACGAACTGAAACTTATTCGACAGCATTTAATAAAGGAATTCCAAGTACAGAAGTTAGCACAGGCGAGATGAGAATACGTTTAATCGACCCCAGTAAAACTGTTCAGCGAAGCCCTTATAGGCTTAGTCCTCAAGAGAGAGAAACAGTTAGAAATCAGTTGAGCGAGTTGAATTTGAATTTTTAACAATGCCTTTCGGTCTTAAAAACGCGCCAGCAGTCGCCCAGCGTTCTGTAACGATTACGAAAGTATGAGCAAGATCACCGCTCATACTTTCGTAATCGTTTATATGGACGATATTACGGTTGTGTCACCAACAAAGGAGTCTGGAATGAAAAGGTTAAAAATTGTTTTAAACATTCTTACAAATGCTGGATTCACTTTTAACATTAATAAGTACAGTTTCCTTAAAACAGAAGTTCAGTATTTAGGCCATGAGATACGGGCGGGGGAAGTTCGGCCCAATTCACGGAAAATAACTGCGTTACGTTCATTGCCTCCGCCACTAACTGCCACTGGCATTAATTTATTGGTCTGGCCTCATATTTCCGAAAGTATGTGTCCAACTTCTCCTAAGTTATGAAACCGTTATATTCTCTATCTTCTGGAAATGGAAGTATTACTTGGAATCCTGAATTGGAAAAAAGTTAGAAAACACGTCGTGGACATTCTTACAAACGACCCTGTATTAGTAATATTTGATAGGATATGGGGCGATGCTTATATTATACATCGAATACAAAATAGATCTTATGTTGTAGAATATTTTGGTAAAACCACCTCTTTTGCGGAGTCTAGGTATCATTCTTATGAATTGGAAGCCTTAGCTGTGGTTCAGGCCATAAAACATTTTCGTCATTACCTTCTTGGTCGCAATTTCGTTGTGTTTACCGATTGTAATTCGTTGAAGGCTTCTCGTACCAAAATATATTTAACTCCAAGGGTACAACGATGGTGGGCCTATTTACAGTCGTTCAATTTTGACATTTAATATAGAGAAGGAAAGCGTATGGCTTATGTTGACTTTCTGTCCAGAAACCCATAGCATCCCGAATCGCATCCAGCTGTATCTAAAATTCCCGAAAAGAGAGTAAATTTAGCTGAAATTTCTAGCGACTGGCTTCTCGCCGAACAGCGTTTAGATCCCGAAATAATAGAAATTGTCACTAAATTAAACTCCTATGAGTTCTCCGATGACTTGGCCAACACATTTGATTTGCGCAAAGGAGTCTTGCATCGTAAAGTACAGCGAAACGGTAGGACACGTTGCTTGCCGGTTGTGCCACGAGCGTTCAAATGGTCGGTAATAAACCAAGAACACGAATCGATTATGCACCTTGGTTGGCAAAAGACACTTGACAAAGTTTATCAATATTACTGGTTTGCTAAAATGAACAAGTACGTTCGTAAATTTGTCGCTAACTGCATAACTTGTCGGACTTCTAAATCTCCTTCTGGGAAAGTCCAAGCTGAGCTTCATCCTATCCCAAAGGTCAGTATACCTTGGCATACGGTTCACATTGACATTACAGGAGAGCTAAGCGGAAAAAGCCGTTTAAAAGAGTACGAAATAAACGTATTTTGCATCACGTTCTAAAGTTAGATGCTGAAATTTGTATTAAGTCTGTGAAATCTGCCGCAACATTATTTGGGGTACCAAATCGCATCATAGCAGACTAGGGTAGGTGTTTTGCTAGTAAAGAGAGTTTTAGAGTTTTGCAACTCTCAAAAAATAAAACTTCATTTGATTGCCACAGGAGCATGGTGGATGGTGATAGGAACATGTTGAAGTCCCTAAAAAATAAACGCTTGTTCAAGTATTGTCACGAAGATATTCGAAAAATGCCAGATAGTGCAATACCAAATGAATTTAATATTGAAAATGAAGAGTTAAGCCTGCCAATGAGTCCAGTTCGGGCAGAAAGTAATCCATCTAAGCGAGATGATGTGTTATCCGTCAGAGGGGACGATGTGTTATCCGTCAGAGGCGGCCATGTGTTATCCGTCAGAGGGGACGATGTGTTATTCGTCAGAGAGGACGATGTGGTATCTGTCAGAGAGGACGATGTGTTATCCGTCAGGGAGGACGATGTGTAATCCGATAAAAGAAACGATGAATTTAATGAATTGAAGAGACGAATATAGTGTACTGGCGGAAAGTCCAAGTGAGGCATATTGAAAGTAATGTTAAGTCATTTATAATCTAGTTACTAGTGAAGAAAATATGAACTGAAAATACTACGGAAATTAAATTAATTGCGTTTGTAAAATAGGTATAAGAGAGTCTGTTATGAAGAAAATTGTTTGTAAAGCTAAACTTTGTGTACAGAGCATAGTGTGAAATACATGAACAATAAAGTTTAAGACTTGAATAGAGATGAAAATTGATTCAGTTTGATAAAAAGGACTACACGAGGACGTGTAAATTGTCAGGATAGCCGTGTCGTGACACGATGATATAACTTGAGTTAAAAGGCCGTTGCGCGACACACATCTCTAATTCGTTGTCCGTTTCTTCTGTTATACTCAGACGATTGAGCGTAGATAATTTTGAGACTGAGAGAGATAAGGCTATCTGTCGCTGTACGTGGTCCCTTGTGTTGTTTAGCGTGTGTGAGTAAGCGAGATGGTAATAGTGACGAAAATGACGAGTGCAGTTGATATTGTCGTCAAGAATCGCTGGCAAGAGGCTGGCAGTCTAGAACGTTCACCGTAAGCGGACACAAGGGAATTCGTTTTTGTGCGCGTAGCCAAGAGAAAACGTTTAGAAAGAAGGAAATGGAACCTAACCTCATGGCTAAACCGACAAATATTTTAAAATTGTGTAAAATAGTGACGGGTGACGGGATGAAATGGCGCACTAGCTTAGCTGACAGCCGCTAGGTTAATTACTTAATGACTTAATAAGGGAATGCGGGATATTGATAAATGATCTCAAAATTAAACTTTGTTTTTTCCCTTTCTGGATCTTTGATTTCTTATTATTAATGTACAATTTTCCTTAATTATTTTAAACCCTTCTACTCCAGTCTCTACTCTGCCACCGTGTCGCGATCGTACATTTTAAGACTCACTCGTAAAGATCTCCTGCCAGGCGTTTGTCCTCCTGCTCCTGGGACTTTCAGGTGAAAGGATTCCTCATCGAAAACCACTAACAAAAGTTAACTAGTCAAAAGTTTAAAAAATATCTTTGAATCTTATTATTAAAGCCTTACAAGCCAATCAATTAAAACTCTGGGGGTTTCAATGGGAATAAAAAAAGTTTAAATGCAATTTGATTTGTGAACCAGTTAATCTGTGCGTAGTCTTGAAGGCATACGGCTGGAAAACTCGTGGAAAGTTCAGTGGCATCTCTTAAATACGTATTCTAAAGCACAACTTTCTAGCTCTTATAGGTCTCGAGCATTTTTGCATTTTTGGTTTTCCGGGTTTTGTCGGCGTTTGAGTGGGAGTGGATAGATGGGAAAAAACAATTCGCAGTTGGGGCATCATAAAATCCTACATGCTTAATCCGAACTTTCTATCACTTATAGCTTCTGAGATATCAGCTTTTCTACAATATGCGAAAACCGTCATTCGAGCTTGTCGGGTAAAAGAAAGGGTGTGGCCAGATAATGGTATCACCATAAGATCCGCTGGCATTATACATACTTAATCTCAACTTTCTAGCTTTAATAGCTTCTGAGATTTCCGCGGTTATAGTTTTCCGTGATTTGTGGGCGTTAAAGTGGGCTCTCTCTGTATTTCTTATAGTTCCTGAGGTAATAGCGTTCATATGGACAGACGGACATGAATCAATCGACTTCCTGATCAAGAGTGTATATACTTTATAGGGTTGCAAACGCTTTCCAGTATACATGATTTATTTAAATTTTCTTACTTTTCATTAAAAAAATAACGCTTTATATTCAATGGAACATTTTTTAAAAAGATATACGTTGTTATTAATATAGAATGTGCTTAATTTATAACGGCAAGCACATTAACGTCACATTGCAATGGGAGGGAAAAAAATGTAAGCTTATACAAGTTTAACACTGTCAAGAAACTGTTTACAGACATTCGTTTTTCGATTCAATTTTACTCTGGAGAAAAGCGATACCTCACTGTTAGCATTTCATTCATTTGTTTTTAAAATAACATCTGAAAGTTAAGTTTTAAGATTTATAAAATGTCTTCAAAAGAAATGTGTAATGTAATGTCATCTGTTTAGCTTTTTCACCGATTTTTAGAAAAACAAGGAAATAATTAATGTTGGCAAACGAATGGACCACCGTTGTACCAAAGGTACCTGGAATATTGATGCGAATTCCTACTTAGCACCTTAAGGAAGAATGATGTACCTTTGTTTTATTTAGAAAAGATACCCAGGGTATTTTTAAGGAAGGAAATGTATTAAATTCCTTTGTGTAAACAGTTCCTTGACAAACTGTATGCATATTATTTCACTATATGATACACGTTATACATTTTACAATGTATAATGTAAAAATAAATTTTAATGTAATGTAATGTATACATATATCTGTATACAGATCGTACATTTGTACATATGTATGCATATTGATACTGGCGTACTGTGTAACTTATGTATGTGTATGTACATGTATAATAGGTATAATTAAACGTTTTGAAAATGTCCCCTCATCTATAGCTTAATAAAAAAACTTATATGTAAATTATGATTTCATTACAGGTTACAAGGTTTTATTGTCTGCTGCTACTTTTATAAGACCTCTGCTAATACGAACATATGTACATATGTATCAGAACGTAATCAGAGGCGTCACTTTAAATTAATTATCATTATCGTAGAGTTTTCCTTTTCTTTGCGAGAGACATTCTCAATTGTTAATGCTGATGATCGTTAATAATACATCGGGTTCCATTCGTGTGTTGTGAGTCGTTAGAACCATTTCTCACTTTGCTGAACGCTCTACGCGGCTTCCTATAACTATATACATACATACATATGTACATTCATCATTCATAATTTTGTCTGCCGAACCACGAATTCATTTTTAAAATCGCCTTTTTGTGGTACACACAACAATTGGCCAGATGAAGTTTCGGCTTGAATGCATGTTTTTTGAAAGTAGCGCTGTTTTAGTCAGACTACTCTGTGGATTTCTTATTTATGGTGTCCATGGTGACAAGGTGGAAATAATAGAGCTAAGTAATTGGACAATAACTAATCAGAATGGCTGTGAGTACAATTATTCCAAGGCTGCTCGTCAAGACTAGACTGCATATGTAACTGCCACAAATTACTTTGCTCTATCTTTAATCTTGAAAATAAATTTGATGTTATTCAATTGAAATTCTTTACAAAGCAATAAAAAGGCTTTCAAAAGCGGGGCGCTTTGGCAACATGTAGATAATATATTATAATATGTACATATATATGTACATACATGCATACAAATGTATGTACATACATACAAGTACACCGCACATATAGAATTTATTTTGTATGATAAATGTACTTCATAAATATTTTCAATTGCAGCCATAAAGATTTCCAACCAAACATTGCCATCGGGAATTTATAGTGCCTTTGCACCCCGTGTGCTGGAATCTTACAATGACATAGATGTGCGTTATTTGGCTTATGAAAACTGGACCTATACGAACCTCTTTCAGTGTAAGTCTTCACATCATTTATAAAAAAAATTATTTATTGCTAGGTAGCAGTAAACAGTACCGTTTGGTACATGCTAAGTTAATGGTTAGGTGTTTTTTATAAACGTTTTCCTAATCCTTACTTCAATAGAAAACTTGAATAGAATCGCTTAAGTTTAGCGTTAAAAGCCCATAGCACCAAATTTTCTTTTAAAATAGTTAAATATTTATCCATGATTCCGTCAATAAAAACAAATTTCCGACGCCGGACACAGTCATACAGGCCCAAACCATAGCATGACCACCGCCTTGCCTAGCCGCTGCTTTTTGGTTTTTTGTATGTAGCTCTGTATTGGGACGTCGCAAAACATATTTCCGCCCATGGGACCCAAATATATTACATTTGGATTCGTCCACAAATATAACGTCGTTGCACACCAAAATCGGACGAGTTTCAAGTTCCCTGGCGAATTTGACGCGTGCCAGACTTTTTTTTTAGCACTAACGAAGGTCTTAGTTCTAGAAACTCGACCATTAAAGTGGTGGTTATGGGAAGTGCTCCGAACTGTTCTCAATCTCCGCAACTATTTTAGGACCCGATACCTTGGGTTTTCCTTCACTTTTCGGACAATACGTCTCTCCTCCTGGTCATTAAAAATTTTGTTCGGTGCATCACGGCCCTTATCTGCCACCCGATTTTCGCAAAAAAGCGTTTGGGTTATGTATGGATTTGTACTAGGGCTTGAGGCAACCATTTCCTGGGTTTTCCCATCCTTAAAATGTTTAAGGACTAATTCGCTTTGCTCAATAGTTGTTCGTGGCGCCGTAGTTTGAAAATCCTCGTTAATCCGTAATTTTTGGGTGCCCCCAGCCTCGAAAACTTATAAATATGCTTTTGTTAATGTATTTTTACTAGTATTGAAAAAAAATGGATTTAAAAGTCGAGTTATTTTCAATTAAAGTGCTTGCACGAAATAAGCTTGTGCGTCGGAGTTGCCTTATTTTTAGTTTTTGTATGAAAAATTCTTTTGTTTTTTAAATTAGTTAAAACTTTTGTTATTATTTTGATAATATGCGACATTCTTAACATTACTGCGTTTAAATTTTTTTGATTGTTCGTGGCGCCGTAGTTTGAAAATCCTCGTTAATCCGTAATTTTTGTGTGCCCCCAGCCTCGAAAACTTATAATATGCTTTTGATAATATATTTTTACTAGTATTGAAAAAAAATGGATTTAAAAGTCGAGTTATTTTCCATTAAAGTGCTTGCACGAAATAAGCTTGTGCGTCGGAGTTGCCCTATTTTTAGTTTTTGTATGAAAAATTCTTTTGTTTTTTAAATTAGTAAAAACTTTTGTTATTATTTTGATAATATGCGACATTCTTAACATTACTGCGTTTACATTTTTTTGATATCTCTGCTGGTTTAGTAGCAGTATCAAATAAAAAATTCGATTTTTTCTTGCACGAAATAAGCTTGGATCCACTGTAGCTCTGTATTGGGACGTCGCAAAACATATTTCCTCCCAAAATCGGACGAGTTTCAAGTTCCCTGGCGAATTTGACGCGTGCCAGCCTTTTTTTTTTAGCACTAACGAAGGTCTTAGTTCTAGAAACTCGACCATTAAAGTGGTGGTTATAAGAAATGCTCCGAACTGTACCTGGGCAATATTTTTTGCCAATTTCGTTCTCAATCTCCGCAACTATTTTAGGACCCGATACCTCCTCCTGGTCATTAAAAATTTTGTTCGGTGCATCACGGCCCTTATCTGCCACCCGATTTTCGCAAAAAAGCGTTTGGGTTATGTATGGATTTGTACTAGGGCTTGAGGCAACCATTTCCTGGGTTTTCCCATCCTTAAAATGTTTAAGGACTAATTCGCTTTGCTCAATAGTTGTTCGTGGCGCCGTAGTTTGAAAATCCTCGTTAATCCGTAATTTTTGGGTGCCCCCAGCCTCGAAAACTTATAAATATGCTTTTGTTAATATATTTTTACTAGTATTGAAAAAAATGGATTTAAAAGTCGAGTTATTTTCAATTAAAGTGCTTGCACGAAATAAGCTTGTGCGTCGGAGTTACCTTATTTTTAGTTTTTGTATGAAAAATTCTTTTGTTTTTTAAATTAGTTAAAACTTTTGTTATTATTTTGATAATATGCGACATTCTTAACATTACTGCGTTTAAATTTTTTTGATTGTTCGTGGCGCCGTAGTTTGAAAATCCTCGTTAATCCGTAATTTTTGTGTGCCCCCAGCCTCGAAAACTTATAATATGCTTTTGATAATATATTTTTACTAGTATTGAAAAAAAAATGGATTTAAAAGTCGAGTTATTTTCCATTAAAGTGCTTGCACGAAATAAGCTTGTGCGTCGGAGTTGCCCTATTTTTAGTTTTTGTATGAAAAATTCTTTTGTTTTTTAAATTAGTAAAAACTTTTGTTATTATTTTGATAATATGCGACATTCTTAACATTACTGCGTTTACATTTTTTTGATATCTCTGCTGGTTTAGTAGCAGTATCAAATAAAAAATTCGATTTTTTCTTGCACGAAATAAGCTTGGATCCACTGTAGCTCTGTATTGGGACGTCGCAAAACATATTTCCTCCCAAAATCGGACGAGTTTCAAGTTCCCTGGCGAATTTGACGCGTGCCAGCCTTTTTTTTTTAGCACTAACGAAGGTCTTAGTTCTAGAAACTCGACCATTAAAGTGGTGGTTATAAGAAGTGCTCCGAACTGTACCTGGGCAATATTTTTTGCCAATTTCGTTCTCAATCTCCGCAACTATTTTAGGACCCGATACCTCCTCCTGGTCATTAAAAATTTTGTTCGGTGCATCACGGCCCTTATCTGCCACCCGATTTTCGCAAAAAAGCGTTTGGGTTATGTATGGATTTGTACTAGGGCTTGAGGCAACCATTTCCTGGGTTTTCCCATCCTTAAAATGTTTAAGGACTAATTCGCTTTGCTCAATAGTTGTTCGTGGCGCCGTAGTTTGAAAATCCTCGTTAATCCGTAATTTTTGGGTGCCCCCAGCCTCGAAAACTTATAAATATGCTTTTGTTAATATATTTTTACTAGTATTGAAAAAAATGGATTTAAAAGTCGAGTTATTTTCAATTAAAGTGCTTGCACGAAATAAGCTTGTGCGTCGGAGTTGCCCTATTTTTAGTTTTTGTATGAAAAATTCTTTTGTTTTTTAAATTAGTAAAAACTTTTGGTATTATTTTGATAATATGCGACATTCTTAACATTACTGCGTTTAAATTTTTTTGATATCTCTGCTGGTTTAGTAGCAGTATCAAATTAAAAATTCGATTTTTTCTGGCACGAAATAAGCTTGGATCCACTGTAGCTCTGTATTGGGACGTCGCAAAACATATTTCCTCCCAAAATCGGACGAGTTTCAAGTTCCCTGGCGAATTTGACGCGTGCCAGCCTTTTTTTTTTAGCACTAACGAAGGTCTTAGTTCTAGAAACTCGACCATTAAAGTGGTGGTTATAAGAAGTGCTCCGAACTGTACCTGGGCAATATTTTTTGCCAATTTCGTTCTCAATCTCCGCAACTATTTTAGGACCCGATACCTCCTCCTGGTCATTAAAAATTTTGTTCGGTGCATCACGGCCCTTATCTGCCACCCGATTTTCGCAAAAAAGCGTTTGGGTTATGTATGGATTTGTACTAGGGCTTGAGGCAACCATTTCCTGGGTTTTCCCATCCTTAAAATGTTTAAGGACTAATTCGCTTTGCTCAATAGTTGTTCGTGGCGCCGTAGTTTGAAAATCCTCGTTAATCCGTAATTTTTGGGTGCCCCCAGCCTCGAAAACTTATAAATATGCTTTTGTTAATGTATTTTTACTAGTATTGAAAAAAAAATGGATTTAAAAGTCGAGTTATTTTCCATTAAAGTGCTTGCACGAAATAAGCTTGTGCGTCGGAGTTGCCCTATTTTTAGTTTTTGTATGAAAAATTCTTTTGTTTTTTAAATTAGTAAAAACTTTTGTTATTATTTTGATAATATGCGACATTCTTAACATTACTGCGTTTACATTTTTTTGATATCTCTGCTGGTTTAGTAGCAGTATCAAATAAAAAATTCGATTTTTTCTTGCACGAAATAAGCTTGGATCCACTGTAGCTCTGTATTGGGACGTCGCAAAACATATTTCCTCCCATGGGACCCAAATATATTACATTTGGATTCGTCCACAAATATAACGTCGTTGCACACCAAAATCGGACGAGTTTCAAGTTCCCTGGCGAATTTGACGCGTGCCAGCCTTTTTTTTTAGCACTAACGAAGGTCTTAGTTCTAGAAACTCGACCATTAAAGTGGTGGTTATGGGAAGTGCTCCGAACTGTACCTGGGCAATATTTTTTGCCAATTTCGTTCTCAATCTCCACAACTATTTTAGGACCCGATACCTTGGGTTTTCCTTCACTTTTCGGACAATACGTCTCTCCTCCTGGTCATTAAAAATTTTGTTCGGTGCATCACGGCCGTTATCTGCCACCCGATTTTCGCAAAAAAGCGTTTGGGTTATGTATGGATTTGTACTAGGGCTTGAGGCAACCATTTCCTGGGTTTTCCCATCCTTAAAATGTTTAAGGACTAATTCGCTTTGCTCAATAGTTGTTCGTGGCGCCGTAGTTTGAAAATCCTCGTTAGTCCGTAATTTTTGGGTGCCCCCAGCCTCGAAAACTTATAAATATGCTTTTGTTAATATATTTTTACTAGTATTGAAAAAAAATGGATTTAAAAGTCGAGTTATTTTCAATTAAAGTGCTTGCACGAAATAAGCTTGTGCGTCGGAGTTGCCCTATTTTTAGTTTTTGTATGAAAAATTCTTTTGTTTTTTAAATTAGTAAAAACTTTTGGTATTATTTTAATAATATGCGACATTACTGCGTTTAAATTTTGATATCTCTGCTCGCTTAGTAGCAGTATCAAATTTAAACTTCGATTTATGCTTGCACGAAATAAGCTTGGAGCCACTGTATGTACATAGAAGCAGCATATAGTATGGATAGATTTTTAATATTTATTAAAAGTATATCATAAAAATATTCTTAATAAGTTTAAATACGTTTGGAATTAACGTGCTTCTATGTTTTTTTTTTGCGTTACATTGCAGTTTTCTCTTATGTTAATACAATGATGAAACGCTATAGTTACCCCTTACTGTCGTATCCCATTTATAAATATTAATTTTGATAGAATAACTTGGCGCAGCGATGTTTAATAACTGACGGTGAAATGAGACCTCAAAACATACATTTCTTAAAAAAGATATTACAGCAATTTTAGTTTTCTTGGCGTTCGGTGGAAGTGGCAAGACGCTGATAAAAACTGCGAAAGCATCTCAAGAATCAGCATGCTTAATCCTGCCTTTTTATCTCTCTAAGTTCCTGCACAGGTCTTCCAGAAGGTTACGCCGTGGCACGTGCTGCCCACGGATGTTTTGGTTTTGAATAGCTCGTTGCGACAAGTTGCTACCCACAAGTGATGCAGAGTGCAGATCGGGTCCAGGTGGTTCTCACGATCAGTGGAGATAGCGCTGATAGCAGGGTCTTGGCTTCAGCAGTTATAATAAAGGTGTAGGATAATGCGGCAGTCGTGGTTGCAGAGTCGGACCGAGGCCGGGTGGTGGCCACGGTCGGTGACGATCGTAAACTGATAGCTGGGTCTTAGCTTCAGCTATGTTTACTGTCGCGGCGGTTGAAAAAGATGAAAACACCCGACTCAGAGAAAGTGCCTTTATTATTCGGCTTTCAGCCAAGAACTAATTAACATAAGAGAGAGAGAAAGCTTAATCATAACCCTAACTCGCATTGTTGTAATTCGAGTGAAAGCCAATGACAACAGACGTGTTTTTATATCGCTCCCGGCGTGTAATTAAGACGCACCACAAAAACCGAATTCTATTTCGAGAAAAGACGCTCAGAGTGTATGCATGGGTACTTGTGCTCATGTGCATTGGAAATGCCCAATATAAAGTGTTCTAATTACTAATACAAGCGATAATATAATTTGTTACACATCTCTCTCTCTTGAAAAACCATAATGAGCAAGTCTTGGCAACCACAACAAGACAAACGTCGGCTCTCGTCAATCAGAAATAACGCTTACTTACCATAAGAGCGGAAGACGTACCAGAAGCAACAACAACTTCAACACTGCAAGCGAATACGGAGGAAGCACACTCGCTCTCTCCCGGCTTTTTGTGTGCCAGCAGCGCATCACATTTTGCCAATTTTCTGGCCAAAATTAAAATCTCAAGAACAAGGCAAGATATTTAGGATCTGTTTTTTGATTTGAGTTGATATGGTCAATAGATTTCCGATATAAAAAAATGGGGGCGTGTCACCGCCCACAACCTCAAGATCATATGCTAACTCAAAAACTAAACAAGATATTTATATTCTTTTTTTTATTTGAGTTCATATGGTCGATAGATTTCAGATGTGAAAAATTATGGGTGTGGCACCGCCCACAACCTCAAAATTAGAAATTTACTAAAAACTAAGCAAAATTGCACCTTCTTTTATATAAAACCCAAGTTACTTTGCAAATATATTTATTAGCTGTTTTAAAAAACAGGAACAATGTTTGCAATAATAATTTGATTTTTTTTAATAATAGAAGGCGCTGCACGCATAATTTAAGGAACAATCCAGCATTAGCTCATTTGATGTTGCGTCCTTAAAACTTAAATATCTCGAAAAGTGCATAAAAGTGCACTTTCTGGTTACATTCATTCGAACAAGAATTAAATGCTCTAAAACATCGTTTTTATTTGATTGATGGACTCGGCTGGACTCACCTTCAATGTCTTTTTAAAAATTAAATTTTTTAATTATATTCTCAAATTTTTTACTGTTCACAATTTTAAAACTGCGCTCAAATCCCAATAGTGCCACTGCTTGTAAAGATAAACAGCAACAGCTGTTTTTATCAGTTGATTTCTTAGCAGTAGCACCATCTATTAAAATTTCTGTTATGCAACACTTAAAATTGATCTAATGTGGATGCAGTTCAGTTAAAATTATTTTAATTTTTCTCTTTAAAAAAAATGGTTTTTGGCCAAAAAAGTGGCAAAATTTCCTATAGTGAAAGGACTACAAGTAGTTATTAAAGTTATCGAAGCAACAGTCCCTATCTATGAGATTATAGATGGACTTAAAGAAAAGGCTTTTAATGTCAAACAGGCTAGGAATATATTAAATAAAAACAAAGTTCTACAGCCAATGTTCAAGGTAGAGTTGGAGCCTGAAAGTATGCACTTAAAAAACAATGATCCCAATCTATAAGCTTCAATATCTATTGCACCATAGGATCACCGTTAAGAAACCCAATTGTGCATGAATTGCCAGAGCATCTTAAGGTGAAAACACTTTCCGGCCACGCCCACTCTTACGCCGCCCAAGATCGAAAGACGGTTTTCGCTTTTTGTAAAAAGGCTGAGATCTCAATAACTATAAGTCATAGAAATGTGGGATTAGGCACGTAATTTCTACTGATACCCCCAATGCGTATTATATTTACCTCGCTTACTCTAAAGCCCAAAAAATGCAGAAAACCAAAATCTTGGGAAGTATAAGAGGCTTAGGATTACGTCTTTTAGAGATGACACTGCAGCTCGACGTGAAATTTCATCTAGAAACGCCCAAAAACACAGAAAACCAAAATCTTGAGAAGTATAAGCGGCATATGATTAATCTGGAAACGCCCATTCTAACGACTACAAGCCGCGGAAATCTGTGGCGTCCATAATATTATAATGTCTTCGTATGACCTTGTATAACATTTGTTGACAATATCTACCGATTTACTAAATATTTTTAAAATCAGAAAATTATTTCTCTGTTAATGAAGAAATAATCATCATCATCGTCATCAGTTAGTAAACATGTTTCTTGACAAAAGGTGGCGCTTTGTCCATTTCCACCAGCAAAATAAATATTTTATAATTGTGTACCACAGTAACGGGTATCTTATAGTCACGGCACTCGAATTTAGCGTTTTTTCTTGTTTTTCTAACCTGCGCAGTCGACTTTCGACACTACAAAAAAAGCCACATCAACCTTACCTTCCACGGCATTGACACCGTGGCAGAGATCCGATTAAACCATCAGCTGCTGGGACGAACGGATAACATGTTCGTGCGCTACTCCTACGAAGTGAGTTCGCTGCTTCAAGCTGAAAACTTTTTGGAAGTGGATATCCAATCTCCCATACTAGCTGCCCTGGAGAGGGCCAATGCTTTGAAAGATGCTAAAAAAAGCGTACCCCCGGAATGCCCCAATGAGCGCTACCATGGCGAGTGCCATATGAACATGTTGCGGAAGATGCAGGCTAGCTTTTCTTGGGACTGGGGTCCTGCAGCCCCTTCCGCTGGAATCTGGAAGAATGTTGAGCTTGAAATATATGAGGTAGCTGTCATTCGTGACGTGGATGTGGATGTCACCCACATCAACGGTTCGCACTGGAATATGCATATTCGTTGCTACATCGATGCGGTTGGCCGAGACGACTTCAACGGAAGTCTTATTCTATACGCAGTGTAAGTGACCTAACTCTCAGCGATTCAACAGCCCTACTAAAATTCTTTACGTGTTATAGCGAGCTATTGGACGAACCGGTGGTAGTGGACAGATACACAGTGAACTCCATCAGTCATTTGATGCCAGTGATTGAGTTCGATCAAGCCGTGCCAATTGTAAGTTCCTCCTGCTAATTACATGGGCACAAGTTTAAACTTTCTGTACCTGAATAATTTTCATTATCACTTCGTAGGAGAAAGTCGTTCCTTGGTGGCCACATGGCTATGGAGAGCAAAAACTTTATCCACTCCACTTTACTCTAAACACATGGCTGGGAGCTGATGGCCCCGAGGCTCGCTCTAAGACCAAATCGAGCAAATCGCTTTCTGTCGGCTTTCGAACTCTTGAACTAATCGAGGACCTAGCCCCAGATGGCATTGGAAACACTTTTCTTTTTCGTGTCAATGGAGTGGAGATGTTTATGAAAGGCAGTAACTATATACCATCCCACATACTACCGGAATTGCAAACGAAGAAACAGAGTAAGTACTTATGATAAACTCGACTTCACAAATAATTAAACCAAATTTGCAGCTTAGAAGTAGATAGCTTACTTTTCCATTTTATACCCGTTACTTGTAGAATAAGAGGGTATATTAGATTCGTTGAAAAGTATGTTCGAGGTAGAAAGAAGCGTTTCCGACCCTATAAATTATATATTATGTTTTCTTTATCACTATCAATATCGAAGTTGATTACGCCATGTCCGTCTTTTCGACTGTCCGTATGAACGCTGAGATCTCAGAAACTAAAAGAGATACAAAGTTGAGATTAAGCTTAAGATTCTTGAGGTCCATACACAGCACAAGTTTATAAATCCTGCCCCGCCCACTCTAACGCACACAATTCGCACATCACAAAACTAAAAACGGTGAAATCTCAGGAACTATTAAAACTAAAAAGAAATTTAGTGTGTATAATCTTTAGATGCCAGCGCATCTTATAGTGGTACCATTATCGGGCCACACTCACTCTTACGCCCATTCGCATTTTGTAGAAAAGCTTATATCTCGGTAACTATAAATGATAGAACGTTCGGATTAAGCATTTTTATGATGCCCCCAATGTCGTTTTTTTTTCGATCAAGCCACGCCCACTCAAAACCTGAAAAACCAAAATTGAGAAAATCTCGGAAATTATAAAAGCTAGAAAGGTGCGCTTAAGAATGCGTATTTAAGAGATACCACTACTACTTGCCTCTAGTTTTTATCCGGCTATGCCACTCTAACGCCCACAAACCGACCTGCCTTCGTTTGACCTTGTATAACTTATTTCTGTCAATATCTATCGATTTAACAAAGGTATTTCAAATCGGAACATTATTTCGCTATTTATTTGAAAATTTTGGTTAGAAGGCCTCACACGGACTAAGACGTCACTATCAGTTACTCAGCATGCTTTCTCCGACAATAGATGGCGCTTTGGGAATTTCCACTAGCAAAATTAATATTAGGTTGTTTGGTAATGACATACCGGTTTCTTTATTGATTTTTGACGACGATTTTAACATAGTTAGCATTGTCCGATTTAAGTGCTATATGTACCGTTGCCTTCCATGATTTTCTGCCATTTTGATGGTAACTTGTATATGCCTCTCCTGAAGAAGTCCTTGTCCCTACTGGCAAAAAACTCGATTCGATTTTCACAATCCTCCCTTGAACTCAATTTTTGTCCCCCAAAAAAATTTTGCATGGCCAAAAACAGATGGTAATCGCTTGGGGCAATGTCCGGACTATAAAGTGGATGCATTAACACTTTCCAACCAAACTCCCGTAGCTTGTGATGCGTCACCAAAGATGTATGGGGCCCTTACGATTCACCTTGGCTGGCCGCTTCTGTTCGAGTGCAATCTTCAATCGCTCCAGTTGTTCACAGTAGAGGTCAGAATTGATAGTTTGGCCATAAAGCAACACTTCATAATGGATAATTCCTCTGATATCCCACCATACACTCAGCAACACCTTCTGAGCCGTCAGTCCTGGCTTTGCCACCTTTTACGCTTTATGTTGTCATATGTGATCCATTTTTCATCACCAGTGACTAACCGATACAGAAATGAGTCGAGTTTATTACACGGTCGAAAAGGTTTTTTTGGTATAACTCATGAGGCACCCATACATCGATCTTTTTTGTTATATTTTTCGACTTTAAAAGCCTATGTACGGTTTCCGTGCTTAGTTGCAGCTCCTCTGCGATGGTTCTAATAGTCACATGACGATCTCGATCCACTATTTCCATGATTTTATCCGTATCACTGGTCACTCGTCCGGAAGGCTTGGGTGTTTCGGTATCAAAATTGCCACTTCGGAATCGCCTAAACCACTGTTCGCCATTTTAAAGGTGATGCCAATACCTTTCAAACGATATACATCATTGCCAGATAAGATTATATTTGAATGTAAAAACCGGCATGTCATTACCAAACAACCCATATCAATTCGACATTATTTCATAAAAATTTGTAATAAAATTTTAATTTTTTTTATTAATTTTTATTTATATGAAAAATGTGATCCTTAAAAAGATCAAATGGACCAGTAATCAATTATCTATTCTCAAATTATATTGTGTGTATATATAGCCATTATATCATTTGGTTTGAATATGTACTAATTAATGCCAACGAAAGTTGCACATTTATTGAGGTCCGCTAAGGGGGCTCATATGAACATGTTGCGCGTTTGGGGAGGCGGTGTCTACGAATCGGACTACTTCTACCAACTCGCCGACAGCCTTGGCCTCCTAATTTGGCAAGATATGATGTTTGCATGTGCCATGTACCCGGTTAGCAGGGATTTTATTTCATCAGTGCGCCAGGAGGTCCGCCAGAATGCCATGCGGCTATCACACCATCCAAGCTTGGCAATTTTTGTAACCAACAATGAAAACGAAGCCGCCTTGGTCCAAAACTGGTACGGAACGTTTTTCGAGAGAGAACGTTTTGAGAGCGAGTATCGGGAGTTATATCTGGCCAATGTTATCCATGAATTGAAACAAGTCTCACATAGTTCTCGACCCCAGCCACTGGTTTCCTCCCCCTCCAATGGCAAGGTCAGTGAACAGGACAACTACATTTCTAACAACCCTCAGGATAATCACAATGGGGATGGTAAGAAGTTCGAATATTATATGAGCAGCTTCAAATCGGATCTCTCCCTCAGTACACTTTTATGACTATGCAAAGGACGGCTGGGATCCAGATATTTATCCACGTTCAAGATTTGTTAGTGAATACGGCTTTCAGAGTTTTCCGGGCGAATACGCCTGGCAGCGCAGCAAGAATGACGACGACGATCTTCTTACCCTGATTAGACACCGCCAGCACCATCCCCTGGGAAATGTTCCTGTAATTGCATTAATTGAGAGACACCTTCCGCTACCGTTGCAAGAGGATGGAAACTATGTCAACGCATTAATATACTTCAGCCAGATTGCTCAGGCCATGGCTACCAAGGTGGAAACGGAATTTTACCGGAGCCTTCGTGACACCCCAGTCAAAACCATGGGAGCCCTCTACTGGCAATTAAACGATGTATGGGTTGCACCATCCTGGTCAGGGATTGATTTTTACGGCAACTGGAAGGTGAGCTATATTGCATTGCCCTTGGTCACTCCTAAACTGCTCCCCTGCTGTTCATAGCTTTTTCTTGAACCACTAGATGACATTGTAACATAATTATAGTTTTGGTATTAAAACACTGCTCAGTACAGTTGAGAGATATTAAATTTAAATATTAAATTTAAACATAAAATATTCGTTCACCCATTATTTGTACATTAAAAAGTATCTGACTGGTAGATTTTTTAAGTGTAACAAATAAATACATTTTATTAAATATCAATCGGCCAACTTAATGGCTATAATACAAATAACATTAATACGTAAGAAGGTAATAAATGTATATAACAATATAAATAATAAGTAAAGTCACTGCTGTAGGACTCAAAAAACTCGCCGTCCTCTTGTCCAGAGATCCCTTAGTCGTTTTCAAATTGTTGTGTTAGCTAGGGAAGATGCTAGTTGGTAGATGTGAGCTGCGAGACGTTCTTTCTACCGACACAAGCAAGCTTACTTCAACATCGGAAAATTCTTTTTAACGCCAACAAGCCGCTAAAATAGGCCGCGTCTACAGCGCAATAGAGCATTTAACCATAATCTTTCAAAAGTTGATAGAAACTAGATTTACACTTATTTTAGAACTGGAACATCTCTCAACTATCGATGAAGTTATATAAATTATGAAATAGTTGCATATTTGGACAAAGCTTAGTAGATCGATGGGACTTAAATAAATTGATTGAAAAAAGATCAATCAAACCAAGCACTGAGGGGTCGCAGTCTTACAACCGCGAACTGCATCAGGGATGCAAACAATATTAATCTTAAGATCTTTTTCTTTATTTTGAATATCAGTGCCTATCTAGCTACAAACATATTTTAAGTCTAAGCCGTTTTTTAATTTATTGAGAAGTTATTAATAAAAGGTATTAATTACATGGTCAGGGACGGTACAGGCAATTATTATTTTTATTAGATTTCCTTTTTAAAATAGCTTATTTCCTATCTCTTATTATAATGAAGTCCCATCTTGCGTTCATGCTGGTTTTGTGTAAGTCTTATAAAAGTTCTACCCTGACTTCCCACTACAGATGGTTCACTACTGGGCGCGCGATTTTTTTGCTCCAATTGTTATCGTAGCCCTCTACGATAAGCTCTTGGACTCGCTTAACATCTCACTAATCTGCGACCAACTAGAGGTGGACACGAGGGACCTGAATGTCGTGGCTAATGTACATTTATGGTCTCAGTTGCTGCCGCGACATTCAACCTCCTGGGATGTTACTCTGCGAGCTAACGGAGTGCAGTACGACAAGGTCATTCACATATCCGACTTGCTGAAAGGGCAGTTTACTAGTACCAACGCATTTCTAGAGCTTCAGTTACGCCGCGGCCAGCAGGTCATTTCCAGGACCCACTTTTTTCCTAGCAGCATTGCCGGAGCTGTTGGAATCGAGAGCCCTGACTTAGAGGTAAGTGTGCCCTACTATGTTATTTGGCCTACATGTGCATTTCGCAGTATGAGATCGCTTCCCGGACCTGTTACAATACCACTGATTTCATCCGGAACAGCATCAGTATCAGCATTCAGGTGAAGCGTCCAGCCCTTTTCGTATACCTTGAGTTGCTAAAGCCATACCGCTACACCCTGTCCGAGAACGGATTTATGCAAACCGTGCCAATGCATGTCGTCTACCTTACGTTCGACGCACCCTTGTGCGCCTGGCTTTTACGCAAGACGGACATCCGGGTGCTTTCCGTGAACGACTTTATGAAATGAAAGAGCGACTCGTTTTCCTTGGAAAATTTAATTAAAAGATTATAAATAGCTTAAGTGTAATCAAATCAATAAATAGCATTAGCCGTTTATCACCCAACATCCGTCGTTCTGATTTACACCATTCCCGTCTAACGTTCGAAACTTGGCATCTGAACTCTCGGCGGCGTGTAACCGTCTGGATATGGCACCAATCGGTTGTTCAGCACGCGGGCATTACGCCAGGTCTTAGTCTTGTCCTCTGCGCTGTCCGGTACTCGGACGCCCTCGATCAGTGTGATAGCGGGACCGTCCACGACGCTGTGCATGCTTTGTCCAATAGGGTTGTGGTGTGGACTCTCGTAACCGCCAATATTTTCTGGATGCCGTGTGTATGCGGGCAAGTCGACTCCCATTGACGTCACCACTAAAGAGTGGGGTACGTAGGTAACAAACTTTGACTCCTGAGGCAGGGATTCGAAATTATGTTTGGTAATAAGGTTTTGGGGCTGGTATCCTTGACTCGACCCACTCTTGTCATAGGCACGATTGTCCCTATATTCTTGGAAGTCGGAAGCGATGAAGTCTATGTCCCTGGACAAACCGACCGTGGATCCTAGCACTTTTCGCTGCCGTCGTGGCAGAATCTCCACAGTGTCGTGCACATCAAAAGATTGCCTCCGAAGATTTGACGCTAAAGAATTGTTCTTTTGGGTTAGTAACTGGGCATTAGTTTGGACGGGTTTCCAGATAAGGTCCATAGCGAGTTTACGACCATGACGAGAACCATACTGCACTGCTTGATATTCAATTGCTTTACTATTTGTTTTGGCCAGCTGCAACTGGATAAGCTTAGCTTGGCGCTGCTCCGCCTCAACCTTGCGCTGCCGAGAGGCGGTATTCTGCAGAGCTAGCTCACTCTGCTTAAGCAATGCTGGACTATGTTGAAAGGCGATATCCTTGCCCATTGGAGGATTTAGGGGCCGCTTTAAGTATGCGTTTCGCACAAAAAATAATTTATCCGCATCCGCAGCGCGAGCCTTGTGACTGTTCTTACCGACCAGAATCTCTACATTATCCCCCTTGCTGGACTTGACGTTCACTACTTGTACCTTCGAAGGGTCCAAATTTCGGGCAAAGCGGAGCTCCGTCCGAATTAGGGCTGGCTTACCGGTTACACACGGAATACGGTCGTCGTTGTATTCTGACTGTGATAGACCGTGTGCCAAACAGGCCATGAAAACAATAACGGCATGCCATCCGTAGCAGCTTAACAATACCATGATAAGTTAGGGCCGCTACAGAATAAAAGTAATTAATTTTTTTAGTTAAGTAGTTCGAATATATGTATATATATGTTTTATAAAACCCTATTTTTGTTTTTATGGTGTGTGTTGAAAGGCGTCAAATTTCGGTAAAGCTTGTCTTACATATGGGCTTTTCGTTGAAATTTCCGAAAAGTATACGATCTCAGACGTCCTTTTGTTAAACAACTTAGTACCGAATGTAAAACAAAGTAAACCCTGCTTCGCATAAATAAAATTGCCACATGAGCAAAAGTGCGCAAATCACATTTCTTTAACTAACTAAAAGTAATCTGAGGCACATTCTTTACTGCGTGGGTCAAAAACAGCAACTTCGTTGGCGCGGAGGACTTATTTCGAAATTTATTGTTTTTCACAGGCATTTAAATAAATCGGCTTCTTATCGGCTTATGGTTTCAGTGCAATAAAAATATATGTTTGTCATGGGCTCAGAAAGCGAAACAAAAATTAAAAACCTGCAACTTTCGTTTACAGTATTTACCAGTAACAAAATTGGCGCTGCAAAAATCTAAAGTTAATAAATACCTCACAAACATTTTCAAATCACAAAATAAATATGTTTGTTTAACTTCTTTGGAATCTGATAAGTCACGGGATACTCTTTACTCTGTTAATCCAGCTTAAAATAAAATTCTAACAGAAGTCTTTTTTATTTGTTATATTTATTAAAAACCAGTATGAATAACCATGAATGAAGTCTAATAAAAACGCTTTTATTAATACATATATTCATAATATTTCGTGGCTATTTATATTGCATGGCTATTTTTTCAGAGTACACATACATAAACTTAATCATTTTTTGCTGATCGGAAATTACTTTTATTGTCAGAACCACATTCTGTGTAAAATCTGTTGTTATGTTTAGGCGTTCGCAATTACAAAAAGCAAGTGCCACAACTACACAAATAACAGTTTAAAATGAAAGAAAATTGCAAAAGGTTAAATATAAACAATTAAGAAAATTGTAAAGTGCATTTTCAATGTTAATTTAAATTGTGAGCAGCGTTTTTAATGTTTATGTAAATTGTAAATTGCGTGTTAATGCGCCCGCAGAAGTTCGCGGCCTTCGAGACTGACAATGAATGGTTCACGATTAAACTGCTTGCCGACCCAAATCGCCTCACTCTGCTTGAAAAGACTTTCACTTTTAACTTGGTGCAGTCGACTGCATCATATCGCGTCTGTTTTCCGATGAAGCCATCTTAATTCACAATATTTGCTGGAGCGTGCGTTTTCGCAATCCCAATTGATTTGACAATAATAGCAAATTATTACATTTTAAGAATATTAAATTTTCTTACTAAAGAGATAGCAACAAAGTGTTATGCGGAAAGTTATCGAAAGCTGTATATTACCATTTTAAATGGATTTGAATAAACTATTTTTGAAGTTTTTAAAGTACGAATATTTGCTGTAGTGTAATTATTATTTTTAATTATGTCCTCGATTAAAACCTTCAAATTAACAATATAGTTTTAGATAGCTTTTTTAATATTAAATACTTTACTGTGTAAAAATTAAATTTTTTGACCATTGAAATGTTGTCAAAACTCTCACGCTATTGTTGTTGCCGAAAACGTCGCTGCAGAGGTTCGAAACCAGTTTTAGCAAGTTGACGATCAAAATTTTTGTATGGCTACACTACGCTCGCCCCAAAGTCTTAACTGATTTGGTGTCGTAGTTGAACCGCATTGTCTCGACTGATATTCGTTCACTTTCGGCCACTTATGATTACATAATCATTGTAAATGAGAGATGCGAGCGGCGGAAGCAAGTCGAAAATGTTCATAACCCTGGTTATGGTCAAAAGCGGCGCATAACAGAAGCCATGTAGAGTCGAGTGTTGAAATGTGACCTGCAATTATAATTCCTTTTGATTTGAATCGGTGAAAATAATAGCCGTTTGTTTGGCTGTGCCCGTGACCAGCTCGACTCTTTCGAATTTACTTTATTTCGCGTTTTTAAGTTTTTTAAATTCAAAACCAGACCCACGCATATCAACTTAGTTTCAGGTCTCCTCTCTCCTATAAACAGCAGAATATGTTGCTTGGCGAATGCAGGTGTCAATCAACCTATGCTTGCTACTTAACACATCGTCCATTGTAAGGTGATCGGACAGCTGTGATTAAACTTAAGTAATATCTGTGTGATATGTACCGAATACATAATACATACATGTACATAAATATATGACTTTATATTTTTCGTCAGGTGGTTTTTCTCTGTGTACTCCTTTCGATATCGGTCGCCTTATTGTTTTGATTGCAACTTTTTACATCTTGCTGCCAAATGCTTACATTTTTTTCTCTTAATTACATTTTTACGTTTACGCAAACTGCACGATTAAATGAAAATCCAGAGAAATCGCGAGAAGGTGCTTACAGCTGAAGTTACATTTTTTGACTTGTGAGCCAGCATCTTTTTATTACATGGGCTAGTCTGACCTCCTGCTTTTCACCGATTTAAATGTCGCAATTGAAAGTGAAACTCTTTTTGCTTTTAGCTCCGAATAATAAGGGTGTATGCTCTCTCTTTGAGGCGCCAAAGTGTCTAGCTTAAAGTTCTGTCAAACAGCCGGCTTCACAATATTGGACATTTTTTATGAGCTTGTAAGCCTAATTGAAAAACTATTTTTTTATCGACGGCACTATCCGAAGACTGCAGTGAATTACTCCCTCGCTTATATGCTGCTTCATGGACTTACTCTTCTTCTGTGACAAATTCGATGTAACTAACAAGGCTCCTTCCGCTACACAGGATATTTATCCGGAGGATGTGCTGTAATTCGGATCTCTCCCTAGCACTGAAGACTTTAAAGTGCGACAGATCGCAGTGCAGACCGAAATACAACTGACGGTGAATGAAAACTTTTGCCAGTAAGTAAAAAGCAGCGAGCTGGAAAACAGCAGAAGAAGTAAAAATTAATTTGTATACATATGTATATTTAGAGGCCGACGGCGCAGCGATTGAGGCAGCAGCAGAGAGGCGTCCAATAGCAAAGGTAAATCCAGCCGGCGAGGGGCGCAGCCAGCGATACTTAACAGCACTTGTACTCAGTCCAATAGATGCGATACAGCCACACGGCGAAATGGAGTCGCTAATCCCGCTCAATGCCGTCCCATCCCGGCCAACGAATCACTGTTCATCGAACCGAGGCTATAGCTATCTCCAAGCCGATGCAAAATTACTCTCGAATACAGAAACATTGACTGGAACCGAATTGGTAATCAAAGCTGAGACAAGCCAATATCAAAATGGGCATACAATTGCGCAATTTCGTCGCTGCCAGTAAACTGACGGCTTCAACTTCTCCATCTCGTAGTCATCGATTCACTATGAGACATAATAAATCTTTGTTGCTTTATAAAACAACTTAAGGATAGTAAAAGCAAGCTCACGGAAATGTGTACCCCCACAACAGGCAAAGAGTTTCAAAAATGCAAGGCGTGCAAATAGAAATCCCGTTATTTGTTTTGTGTTATGTCGTAATCTAGTAATACAAGTTCCTAGTGTTAAAAAATCTTTTTCGACTGTATAGGGAACAGTCCGATATTATTGATCAGTATCAATAACCGAGTAGATTTTCTATGTTCGTCCTTTTATACTTTCCTATAAACACTGAAAATATTAGTAGAGATAGAAAGATTAGATGTTAAGATATTTTAAGATAGTGTTATAATTTGAATTGTTTGGGGATCGGTAAAGACGGACATGGCTTAATCGACTTGGCTTTTGATTACGCTACTATAAGATACCGGTTACTGTTTTCCACAATTTTAAAATGTTTAAAATGTTTACTAACTTTTCATGTGAGGCCTTATAACCTACATTTCTTCATAAATAGTGAAATAATGTTCCAAATTAAAACATTTTGGTAAATCGATAGATATTGACAAAAATATGAAGACGTACATAACATTGTGGGCATCCATAATATCCATAATATTATGGACGCTACCGTTTTTCGCGGTTTGTGGGCGTATGGCCGGATGAAAATCACGTCGAGGTGCAGTGGCATCTTTTAAACTAACTTTCCAGCTTCTATAGTTCCCAAGATTTTTGAAATTTTTTTGTTTTCCGTGTTTTGTGGGCGTTAGAGTGGGCGTGGCAAGATGGGGAAAAAAACTACATGCTTAATCCCAAATTTATATCACTTATACTAACCGAAATGTTTATTTTGGTGAGCGTAAATGGACGGATAAATTTACCACCACATGATGCGCTGGCATGTCAAGATAGTTTATGAGATTTCAGGATTTTTAGTTTTCCGTGATCCTGATCAAGAATATATATACTTTAGGGTCGGAAACGCTTCCTTTTACCTGTTATATACTTTTCAACGAATCTAATAAACCATTTTACTCTAAGAGTAACGGGTATAATAAGACTTCAGCACTCTTCCTTAAAGTCTTAAGCAAAGGTTCAATATTTCAGGTAACTTTAGTACACCTTTGTACTTACATATACATATACTTACTTTGTTTGTTATATGTATGAATAAATACACATATGTCCGTTTTGAGATTCACTTTTACCCCGTCGCAGGAAAGCAACTTTCTTATTTTTAATTACAATACATATTTGACTTCTTTCACATAACTTGTAAAAAATTGGGCTTGTGTTCCCATGAAAAATAACAAGTGGTTTTAGACAATAAATATTATCTAATGCTAGAACTTAATTTATTAAACGTTTCCTGTACCCTACTTGTTTCAGGTAAAAGCTCCAACCCATTCCGATTACTTTTCTGTTTCTGGACCCGCGACACGTTCGAGAAGCACTCCATTGGTGCCGAATCGAAAGCAGTTAAATCTGTACTCCAAGAACTGGCTAGTCAGAACCTTAAATACCACAGATAGGCAGACCTTCATGTTGAACTCGTCAAATGTCTGGATTTCGTAGAGGCGTAAGCAGCAAACTAGCGATGGCGGTAGAAGCAACGGTAGGCAGTAGTCGGGTGGAGTGCGAGCCGAGAACTGAAAGTTCGCCAAGGTCCGCTGGTTCAACTCGATGCCTAGGCGCAGACCCATATCCGTCCGACTGTACTCCAGAAAGGAGCACAGTCGCTGCTTAAAGGATTCTCCAAATCCAAAAGCCAGACCCAGACAGCACCGGCAGGCGAACGAAGAACAAAAGCAAGGCTGCTGCCACACATGCGAAAGCTCGACAATGTTCCCGTTTACGGTCAGCGGTTCTAGCTGCTGACCATTTAAGGGATTGTAAAACGATTTGTCTGGAAACGAATTTTTGTAATTTTGTGCCCGAAAGGACACGACGTACGCCACCAGAACGCATATTAATACGCAAATAGTACTCAGACGCCAGCTCATCTTTTTAAGTCCAGCGTCTGAAGGCTTCGTGGTTTTCCGAAAAGGTGTTTTCGACCGCAATTGTTTAAATAGAGTGCCTCATTACTGTGCCCAAAGCGGAATTTTTACAAAGCCATGACCGCTTTACTGGAAAGTCAAATGGCTCGGAAAACATTGCCATATGTACATTAGCACTAGTGCCGACACCAAGTGCAATTGCCTAAAAATTGTGTCAATGCTAATTCGGTAAAGCTGTGGAGCATGGCCGACGCTTATAGACGCGTTGATAAGGTTGAGGGGTAATTGCTATTATAACGATTTAAAAAAATAAAAATACATTTTACAAAACACTCATCATCATTATCCAAATATTGGATTTTACTCTTGTGTCCAATCTTCAGGGATCTTTCATAATCCTTCAATGATTATTAATCCATCCAAAGGGCCGATGGACTTCACAGAAATCTCGCCTATTTTATTTTATATTTACTTATTTATTAATTTTATGATGGAAAGTGTCTTGGGTGGGCTTAGTGCGACCTTCTACGTCGCTGCAAATGATATGGATATTAATTATTTTCCTACCCTTTTTTACAGAGAAAGTTTTTACAATATCTGTGAGTGTCGTATTGACTAAAAAAAAGGAACCAAGTACATATGTAGTTATAACTCTGCGGATGCTGTGTTTGTAAACATTTTACCACCAAATGTAGTGATTTAGTCACATACATATGTACATATGTACATGCAGTCAGCACACAATTTATTCGTACCCGAAAGTTTCAAACTTGTTATTTAATATCTCGAGGTATATGTGACGGATATTAAAGTGTTAAATCATATGAAAGATATGGTTGGTTGGTTAGGTTGTCAAAAAAGTCTTGCGGTATTTTCGATAGTTGGCGCTGAAAGCGCGTAGTCTTGTTTTCTTCGTCGCATCAGGTCATACTAATAGAGCTGTAAACTAGAACTGTAAACAATTCTACTATTTGAGAATCGATTCTTTTCGATTCAATTCTTGAAAAGACCGATTAAATCGATTTAAAATCGAAAACTAAAAAAAAATTTTTCCAGGAGAAAAGCATTTTTTGCTTAAGACGTGGTAAGGAAAATAGAAAATTTACCTTTGCAAACAAAAAGAAAATTCAATAACAATATATTTTGAGATCAATATTTATTTAGTCAAAACCCATTGCTTTTTACTTGTAAACACAAGTTTGTCAACATTTTTCGCTTTTACCTGAAATACGAACAAACTTATCCATCCCTCTCTTTCTCCTTAACACCAACACTCACTGATTCTGAAAGTGAATAATATTTATTAGTTTATATAAGTTTTATTACTTTAAAATAATTTTTTCGGTTACTTACATTTATCCAATTCGATTCGCCTGAAATTTTTTTTATAAGGTGACCAAACTTTTCGATGCATCGATTCCCTAAAAAAAGAATCGATGGTAGACTACCAGTATTTTTCGGGTGATACATTTTTAAAAGATGATATATAAAGATAATAATTCTTTGACAAACGTAGAAAAGAGTTTAACAGGTAGTCAATTTGTTAACTAATCAAAATGAATGCATATGTACATATGTATCTTAAAATTGAACTCATATCTGGATAGTATTTGTTTTCAGGCCGCTGGTATATTTTGTGAATATCGGCGCGGTCACACTTGTCGATACTTACTAAAGGTTTTAGGTAAAAAACGACGCATTCGCCATGTCCATGTCAAAAACCACGAACACTTACAATCGACAGAATTGGGAAGACGCCGAATTCCCTATCCTGTGCCAGACTTGCCTAGGAGATAATCCGTATGTGCGGATGATAAAGGAGCGCTTCGGTAAGGAATGCAAGATCTGTACGCGTCCATTCACCATATTTCGATGGTGTCCCGGATCCCGAATGCGCTTTAAGAAGACCGAGATTTGCCAAACGTGTGCACGCCTGAAAAACGTGTGCCAAACCTGTCTTCTGGACCTTGAGTACGGCTTGCCCATCCAGGTGCGTGACGCGGCACTAAAAGTTTCGGACAATTTGCCGCAAAGCGATGTCAATAAGGAATATTATATCCAGAACATAGACGCCCAGCTGAACGATGGAAATGGCACTGAAGCAGCAGGGGCAGTCGGCCGATCCCTTGCTGCCAGTGAGATGCTTTCCAAGTTAGCGCGCACTGCGCCTTATTATAAACGAAACAGGCCACATATCTGCTCCTTTTGGGTAAAAGGCGAGTGCAAGCGTGGCGAGGAGTGCCCTTACCGCCACGACAAGCCCAATGAGCCAGATGACCCACTGTGCGAGCAAAACATTAAAGACAGGTACTACGGGCGTAACGATCCAGTTGCCGAGAAGATCATGAAACGGGCAGCTTCGCTTCCCACCCTCGAACAGCCGGAAGACCGCAACATCACCACTTTGTACGTGGGAAACCTTCCCGAGGAGATTACTGAGCCAGAACTGCGAGATGAGTTTTACCAGTTCGGAGAGATTCGGTCTATTGCGCTGGTGCCGCGCCAGCAGTGTGCTTTTGTACAATACAGCAAAAGAAACTCTGCTGAACTGGCCGCCGAGAGAACTTTTAACAAACTGGTAATACAAAGCCGTAAGGTAAGCATAAAATGGGCGCACTCACAGGCAAAACAAGGCACTGCCGCAAAGACAGACAGACGCTTTGAAGTATCAGGCATTTCGCCGACTAGCGCTAAGCCCAGCGACTACTTCAATCTGCGCCAGGAGCAGATCAATGTTATGCCTGCCGGGATGAAACTGCACGAGCTACCATCGAACCTTGTTCCGGCGTCAGCATACCATATGTATGCCCAACCGACCTACGCCGCGCCCTACTGCAACGCCAGTACCTCAATCTCTTCTAGTTCAGAAGTGGCTCCTGATCCCATTTTGATTCCTCCACCACCTGGCCAAGGACCTTATCCCAGTCAGGACGCCAGCCGGTTGGGTGCTGTTAAAAAATAAATATATGGTGTTTCGTTTGTAGATAAGGCACTTTTTCAATGATCCAATAAACAAATATGTCCTGTATACCAAAAACATACATATATAACAAGAGGAAACGCTACAGTCGAGTGCCGCTGCTATAAGATATTTTAAAGTATTAATTTTGATAGTGGAAATTCCCAAAGGCCATCTATTGTCGGAGAAAGCATGTTGAGAACCTGATGCTTTATAACCTAAATTTCTTCATAAATAGCGAAATAATATTCCGATTTAAAAAAGGCATTCATAATAATATTATAGAGACCACAGTTTTCCGCGGTTTGTGGGCGTTAGAGTGGGCGTGTTAAATACGCATTCCTAAGCATTCTAGCTCTTATAGTTTCCGATATTTTCGTAATTTTTTTCTGGTTTTGTGTGCGTTCGAGTGGGCGTGGCTTGATGGGAAAAACAATTCGCACCTACAAGAATAATCCGAACCTTCTATGATTTATAGCTACCGAGATATAAGCTTTTCTACAAAATGCGAAAACCGTCTTTTGAGCTTGATGGGCGTAAGAGTGGGTGCGGCCCGAAAATGGTACCACTATAAGATGCGCTGTCATCTGAAAACTATACGTACTGAATTTCAACGTTCTAGCTCTAATAGTTCCTCAGATTTTAGCGATTTTAGTGTTTTGCGATTTGTGGGCGTTCGAGTGGCCGTGGCAGGATGCTGTGAATATTCATGATTAATCTCATCTCTTCTAGTTCCTGAGATCTCAGCGTTCAAACGGACAGTCGGAAAAACGGACATGGCTTAATCAACTTCGCTATTGATACTGATCAAGAATATATACATATACTTTATAGGGTCGGAAACGCTTCTTCCTGTTACATATTTTTCAACGAATCTAGTATACCCTTTTACTCTACGAATAACGGGTATAAAAAATGTGTAAATACACTGAATTATATTTTTGTTGTAAAAATTCATCTTGTTTAATTTAAAGTTAAAAAAATATATATGGCAATTATTTAAGAATTGCTTAATTAATGAGTGTAAAAAGTGTGAGTGAGTGAGTGTCAAGAAACTAAAATCACTCTAGCTCTTGAGAAAAACTGTCACTGCTAGCAATGCCTTTACATTCGGCATTATTTTTGCATTACTTTTATTTATGTAAATTAAAAAAAAAATGAAATCGCATCCAGAAGAAAATTTGTTCGGTTTTTAAATTGTGTAATGTTTTAGGTCGCGCGGAATATAAAGGAAATCTTCAAGTAATCATTGAAGATTTCCGTAAATTAAAGGTACTAAAGGTACCTTAAATATTGACGGGAACTCTTGCCCTGGAGCTTGTGGAGGAGTTTGGTAACCTTTAGGTATAAAAAATTTTACCATACATATGTACGTATGTATTTATTGCAATTGGAATGCATTCAAAAGCGGTCAACCCAAAACTAACGAATACATTAATAACTTATCTTCAAGTAACAAGAATAAAGTCTACTTTTCTAACTGGTAACTACTTGGATTATATTTAACAGCACATATTTCTATCAAAATATGGTTATATGGTGTTTTTTGGATATGTAGATATGTATACATTTTTTATACCCTTTACTCGTAGAGTAAAAGGGTATACTAGGTTTGTTGAAAAGTATGTAACAGGCAGAAGGAAGCGTTTCCGACCCTATAAAGTATATATATTCTTGATCAGGATGAATAGCGAAGACGAATGAGCCATGTCCGTATGAACGCTGAGATCTCAGGAACTTATAAGAGATAGAAAATTGAGATTAACCATGAAGATTCTTGAGGTCCCTACCCAGCGCAAGTTTATTACAGCATCCTGCCATTAAAATTGCACAAGCGGCTTCTATTGTCGGAGAAAACATGTCGAGTAACTGATAGTGACGTCACTGGCTATGTGAAGCCTTATAACCTTAATTTCTTCATAAATAGCGAAATAATGTTCCAATTTAAAAAACCTTTGACAAATCGATAGATATTAACAGAATTAAGATATGCAAGGTCAAACGAGGGAATTCATAATAATATTATAGACGCCACAGTGTTCCTCGGATTGTGGGCGTGGCCGGATGAAACTTGTGGCAAGTTTCAGTGGCATCTCTTAAATACGTGTTCTTAAGCCGAACTTTCTAGATCTTTTAGTTCCCTAGATTTTTGCATTTTTGGTTTTCCGGGTTTGTGGGCGTTAGGGTAGACGTAGCTAGATGGGAAAAAATGAATTTGCATTTGGAGCATCATAAAAACCTACATTAATACTACTGCTACTTAATCCTAACTTTCTATCTATTATAGTTACCGAGATATCAGGTTTTGTTTAGGAAATGCGAAAACCGTTTTTCGAGCCTTGTGGGCGTATGGGTGGCTGGCATCTAAAGATTATACATTCTGAATTTCAACGTTCTAGCTCTAATAGTTCCTGAGATTTCAGCGATTTTAGTATTTCGCGATTTGTGGGCGTGGCAGGATGCTGTAATAAGCTTGCGCTGCAAGAACCTTCATGGTTAATCTGAACTTTGTATCTCTTATAGTTTCTGAGATCTCAACGTTCATACGGAAAGACGGACAGACAGGTGGACATGGCTCATTCGTCTTTACTATTCATCCTGAATAGAATATATAATATGTACTTTATAGGGTCGGAAACGCTTCCTTATACCTGTTACATACTTTTCAACGAATCTAGTATACCCTTTTACTTTACTCTACGGGTATAAAAAGCAGCGAAACTAACTAAAAAACTTTGAGAATAGTACACCAAAGCTTATTCCGAAGTACAGTTAAAAAAGAATCGCGGATTGCCGTTGAATTCAGAAAGAGAAGTCAAGAATGAGATGTGTACAAATAATTTTCGTGCGTAAAAAAATGACTTTTTTGTGTTATTAAGGAAATTATCTAGTATTAAAGCTAAAACTTGTTAATTTTATGTTTAAAATATATTCTCGAAATGTATATCTTTCATTTGAGATATTACATTTTAATTTCCGTTACGTATTTCTTGAGATATTAAGGAATAAACTTCCAACACATAGGTGTACGAATAAATTATGTGTCGACTGTATGTACATAAGAGTTTAGCCATTCGCTGTGAGACGCGTGTACATCGCTTAGCATTACGGCGTCGATCGCTGTTAATAAATGAAAGGCGGTAAAGCTTATCACTATCATTTTATACTCTGAACTGTTGAATACGTTTAAAACGCTGATATCCAAAGACCTCGTGAGATGGCTACCGTTTTTTTTGGCATTATTGTACACACTAAATCGTTTAACGAGTTTGAGTCCTTCGAGAACGGATTTCTTGCAGTGGACGGTGCTGGAAAGGTGTACATTATACTCTCTGCAATAAAATTTTCTTAACAGGCGTTTCGCACGCAGATAATTGGGTTGGGCCATGACTATCAGGCTTGGGTGTCCAGCAATCCGGATCAGGCAAAAACTTTGTTCAAGGTTCAGATGTCAGACAACCAGTTCCTTATGCCGGGTTTCGTTGACTGTCACATACACGCCCCGCAGTTCGCCCAAATGGGCCTGGGACTGGATATGCCTCTTTTGGACTGGTTAAACACGTACACATTTCCGCTGGAGGCGAAGTTTGTAGACCTACAATACTCCCAACAGGTCTACAAAAGGGTTGTCGTAAGTAATAGTAAACTTAGCAACACTCACACTTATCAAATGGGTCGCTCACACGTCATCAAAATATATTTTTATTTCTTGTTAATGTCATTGTGATTTCCCCAGGAAGCAACGGTGCGCTGTGGAACCACCCTGGCATCCTATTTCGCTACGAACCACCTGGAATCGACGGTGATCTTAGCACGGGAAGCAGCAAGCCAAGGCCAGAGGGCGCTTGTCGGTAAGGTCTGCTCAAACTGCAACAGTCCCGACTTTTACGTGTAAGTACCAAGCGTGGCTTATAAAGTATGTCAATCAAATTAAGTTGGTACGCCTAGGGAGACTCTCGAGGAGTCCGTCACTGCAACTCTGGCTTTCGTGGAGGAAATACGGAAACTAGGAAGCAGCCTTGTATTGCCCACAATTACGCCGCGTTTCGCCCTTAGCTGCAGCAAGGAACTTCTGAAGAATCTTGGCGATATAGCCAAGCGATTCGACCTGCATGTCCAGAGCCACATCAGTGAAAATCTGGCGGAGATTGATGCGGTGAAAGATATATTTAATACCAGTTACGCCAAAGCATACGACAATGCTGGGTTGCTGACTAATAAGGTTAATCATTTAAGCATCAGTTTTTACCCCCTTTTAAAAAATGTTCATCTGGCAGACGGTAATGGCGCACGGCGTTCATCTTGAGGACGATGAGGTCACACTTCTTAAAACTCGCGGTTGTTCGGTGGCTCATTGTCCCGCGTCAAACACTATGCTTAGCTCGGGGCTGTGTGATGTCCAACGACTGGTGACTGCCGGCATAACTGTAGGCCTTGGCACAGATGTTTCGGGCGGAAACTCTGCCTCGATTCATAACGCACTTTTGCGCGCGTTGGAAGTGTCCAAACACATAAGCTTTTTTAAGACGCAAAATATACACGGAACAGGAAAGGCTAAATCACAAGATCCCAACTATGTTCAACTAAAGTACAAGCAGGCTCTGTACATGGCCACTTTAGGCGGCGCCAAAGCGTTGTCTTTAGACCACCTGACCGGAAACTTCACCTTGGGGAAAGAGTTTGATGCCCTGTTGGTGGACGTAAGCGTTGACGAAAATCCTATGCGCAAGCTTAGTGTCGACGAATTGATCGAAAAGTTCATATATACCGGAGGTGAACGCAATATTGTTGAGGTCTTTGTAGCTGGCAAGCGTATTAAAAAGGAATGCCGATCAGAATACGGCAGATAGACTTTTAGTGTTGGCATTTTCAAAAATAATTTCGAAGAGTTTGTTTTATAGCGACAAAAATTAAATGCTAAAACGGAAATCTGTGTTTAGATTACCTGCAATATTCCGTTATAAACACTTCCAAAAGATAGGGCTGATTTTGTCTTTACTTGTTCTACATATTTTACCGTTAAAACAGAAACTATACTTTTAATTTCAATCAATTTGTAGTTTATAACGTATAGGCTATAATTTTATCAAGGATATATCTGCTGCGAATAAAGTATATTATAGACGAATATAATGTACATATGTTTATAGGTAAATAAGGCGCGCAATATCCTATTTATTCAATTGGATAGTCGCCAAGGTGTCAAGGTTTTTAGTTTTGGCCGGATTGCTTTTGAATGCAATGGGAATGATTAATAAGATTTTCTTTCATGCAAATTAAGAAAGTCATTTTGAAAATGTGCTGGGCTGACTGAGCATTCGATGGCCATAGCCAATATTTTAACTTCACAGATTAAAGCTTACTCTTACATGAATTTACATTATATTTCGCTAAAAATACAACAATATTGCTACCCGTGGTAAATATATTCCTGTGCGTTTTACGTATTAAACATATGTTTCTGAGTGACATCTTTTTCGAAATCTGTCCACGCTTTGTTAAGTTCCATAAAAATAAGCTTGGCAATCTCTTCGTTCTCGGTTCCATTATGCTAAAAGTATAATGCCATCAAATATTGGAAATGTTTACATGCCATTTACCTTATCAGGATGCACTGATAGACAAGCACGACGGTATGCCTTCTTGACCTCAGCAGGAGTCACCATGGTAGACATTTCGCATCGCTGCCACTTGGCGTTTTCCCACAGTACTGTATGCATGGAGCATAAAAGCGCACGTATATTGTTTTTTTTGCCATCGGTCTGAAAACTGGAAATTAAAGCTGTGTTTCTATCTCAGCTTCGTACTGCCTTACCCATTCCATAACTCGTACTTTCTTAGGGTCCATATAACGAACCAAATCTTCCTTGCGCATTTCATTTATGGACCGCGGCCCGTGGTTTATTTTGTTGCCGAATGAGTAGCCTTGTTGGCCTAGGATGTCTGCAAATATGTCGGTGTTGTTAGTTCCGCAAGTACCAGCTTGCTGCGCAGGCTTTTGCGGATCAAAGTAGGCTCGATTGTAGTCCGGTCGTAATTGGGCAGAGACCGAAGGTGGGTGTCGCGGTGTTCTGGCAGAAGACATGGGCTCAGACTGCTGCTGCTGTGGTGACTGCATAAACATCTCTTGGGGTTTCGAGGATATTGATGGGTTGTGGGTCGGACTGGAGAACTGCGTCGGCTGGGGACTACTGCCTACAGTAGAATTTCCACCCAGCGTGCTGCGTTTAAAGTTTATGTTTAGCCCTGAAGCCAAGCTGGCGATGTCCGCAAAGGGATCTCCAGATGCCTTGCGTGGCTGGGTTGGTGAGGGTTTGCTTCTGGCGACCGCAGGCTTAGATACAAAAGTCGGAAGGGAACCAAGAAATGGTGGAAGGTCTGATCCGGCCGATGGCTTCAGGCTGGGCGCAATACCTTGGTCCATAGAGTCAAATATGTCAAAAGGGTCAGTGCTCGCTTTTACAGGCTGATGCTGCATTGGGTGAAGAATGTCAGGAATCGGCGCCGAACGTATGCCCGTGGAGTCATCATCGCCGAATGCCCCTAACAAGTCAAAGCTGGCATCTGTGCCAGGCCTTGCGCTAGTTAAGGGATCAGTGGCTGGCGAGTTTCTGTTTTGCTGGTTCAGGTTCAACAGGTCGATAGGCGGAGAAGGCTCTGGCGTGGGAGTCGAAGGTCCATGGACGGTCCCTGTAACATCTGGCAGAACGAGCGGGGAACAGGGACGATCATTCTTTCTAGACCCTGGCGGTGGTGGTGAACTATTCCTGGGTTTGGTTACTTTTACAAAAAATAAATTGACTACAAAAGATAGAGGTACGAATTGCGACCACTTACCAAAATTATCCAGCATCTCCGCAAACTCGAGATCAGAGCTAAACAACGCGGCTGGTGATCGCAAAGGTTTGGCTGGTACCCATGGTGGTTTGTGGGTCGGAGGAGCTTCCGACTCAGTAACTGTCAGAGATAGCGACACGCAGAGGCTAAGAGTAACCTGTTCAGGATCCGGCAGGTCATCCAGATCTTGGCTTGTGAACGTAATCAGCGTTTCTGGCTCGGGAATAAATCCGGTGTTTATTTGAAACTGGCATATCTTCAGCCCTTGTGGGCGTACAATTCCTTTTCGGGCGTGGTACAAAACCACAGTCACATCACCACAGACGGTCATGTTGATTGGCAACACTATTTTACCGGGACCGGCCTGATACAACCTGCAAGGTTAAAACAGCCAAAAAAAAGTGTTTTAAGCATGAATCTCGATTTAAATTAAGCGAATCCTACCGCATCTTTTCGTAATCTTGAAGAGTGCTAAGCAATAATTTCTCGTTGCAGTATATCTCCATGTAGATACGGCAACCGTCGCGTGCCTTGGTCATTTTGGGAACAGGCTGACAGCTGAGCGACACAAGATTTGTGTTCTTGTAGTGTGGCAGTAGGGGCTTGGGCCGCAGGATGTCACCGAAGTAATACAGGTAACGGAACTCGGAGGCTCGCAGGTTAATAGTGTGGCGCTTAACGGCGAAAACCTGCACGGCGTCTTCTGGCTCCTGCAACAAATCTGCATACATAAGCAGTGCACAGATGACTGTGGCAGCAGTGCGCCCTCCCGAATCTTCCGTCTGGACGATAACAATTGATTTCGGGTCCGCGTTTAGGAAGTTGTACATGTCTGCCGATACGGTAAACAGACCCTAAATTAAAAACAAACTCGATAATGCCAGATAGATATTAAACTATATAAATTGTGTGCATATTTATATATGTGTTTATATATAAATCAGTTTTTTATAATCGGTTGTGATTATCTCATGTTATGTGATTATAACCGTTAATCGAGATTAAAAGGGTATATTAGATTCGTTGAGAATAATGTAAGAGGTAAAAGGAAGAATTTTCGACCCCAAAAAGTATATTTATTCTTGATCAGGATCAATAGCGAAGTCAATTGAGCCATGTCCGTCTGCCCTTCTGCCCGTATGAACGCTTATGATTAATGATCTTGAGGTACCTACGCAGTGAAAGTTTATTTCAGCATCCTGCCACGCCCAAAATAATTCAGAATGTATAATCTTGAGATGCCAGCGGATCTTATGGTGATAGAAAAGCTGATATCTCAATAACTATAGGCGTTAGAATGGGCGGGTTAAGCATGAAGGTTTTTATGTTGACCCAAATGCGAATTTTTTTCCCCAATCTAGTCACGCCCACCCTAACGCCCACAAAACCCGGGATTACTTAATTATTTTTCATACTACTATCCATTGACCCCATTGTTCTGAGTGCATTGTAAATGCGAATGTTTGCATATCGGCAATCGCCTCATTCAAGCGACTTGATAGGACGTTAAATATTTTAATAAGCTTTCTAATTACTCACTTGGCTTTGATAGATCTCGGAAAACTGTGCCGTCTATAATATTATTATGAATGCCTTCGTTTGACCTTGTATAACTTATTTCTGTTAATATTTATCGATTTACCAAAGATTTTTCAAATCGGAACATCATTTCGCTATTTATGAAGAAATTAAAGTTATAAGGCCTCACATGGGCAGTGACGTCACTATCAGTTACTCAACAGGCTTTCTCTGACAAAAGGTAGCGCCTTGTGAATTTCCACTACCAAAATCAATATTTCAAAATTCTGTAAGGCAGTAACGGGTATCTTATAGTCGCGGCACTCGACTATAGCGTTTCCTTTTTTTTTATTCTTAGCAATTACTCGTAATTTATTTAACCAAGTTTAACTATGTATCTTATCTTCAATGAGGCTATTATGTTGGGACTAAGTATACATATCTAGAGACGCCTGCACAGCTCATCCGCAGTTAAAGTTTATATATTCTTGATTAGAATCAATAACTAGTCAATTATGTATGTATAAACTCTTAAATCTCAGGAACTACAAGAGATCAAAAGTAAAGATTAAGCATGCATATTCCTTGACATATGAGCGGCACCTAGCAGCCATTCAGTCTGTCTTCTCAATGTTATCGGACATGGATCAGCTGGTGGTATTGGGTGATTTCAACTTAAATCAGGTGGCTTGGTCCATGAACGATAACACCTTAGCTTTAACACCTACGTCGCATCACGACTTTACTGCTGGCATGTTAGACATGTCACTGGCTCAAATTAATCATATAGGGAATTCTTTAGGTCGTTTGCTCGATCTGTGCTTTCTCTCTGATACGGACGCCGTATCCATATACAGAGGTCCACCTCTCACACACCCTGAAGATCCTTATCATCCAACATTAGATTTTTCGATCGATATGGGGCTATGTACTAAGCCTAAGAACAATTACGCTGATACGAAAATTCGATGTTTTCGAAAAGCCGACTTTAAAAAAATTAATAACTATTTCAGAATTTGACTGGTCCGATTTTTACGCATGTACCGATATGTCGACTGCTCTAGATATATTTTATAGTACATTAAACATAATTTTTGATTGCTTTGTACCGTTGCGGTTTCCGGCTAAGTCGGATAAACCCCCTTGGTATACAAGGCACCTTTCTAATCTAAAAAATATCAAGTTAAGATTCTTTAATAAATACTTAAGAACTAATAGCAATGACTGTTATGTGCATTATATGGTGGCTTGGTCTAACTTTACCGTGCATAACATTCAGTGTAATAAGAACTATTTAGGTCGATGTAAGAACCAGTTTGCTCTGGATCCGAAACAGTTCTATAGTTGTGTTAACACTAAGCGTAAATCTAAAACCTTTCCGTATTTGCTATCGTTTGGAAAATCTACTGCAAGCACGGATCAGGAAATTGCCGATCTTTTTGCACAGTTTTTCAAACCACCTATTTACCTTTGTTAATAAACGCGCAGACTTACGCTTATGATATCCCCCGGTCTAACTTTATTTCCCGACCCACCTTGTCGGTCTTCAGAATATGAAGCCAGTCTTTTCGCCAGGTCAAGACGGGGTACCGGGCTGTGTGCTTAGGTACTGCTCTGCTACCCTCGCCAAACCCCTTTTAAAATTATTTAACCTTTCCCTGGAGACGTCCACGTTTCCCGCTATCTAGAAAGAGTCCCTTATTATTCCCCTTCACAAGAAGGGGAAAAATCGGATGCTGCAATTTACAGAGGTATATCTAAACTATCAGCAATTCCGAATCTTTACGGAAAAATACTTGTGCCTCACTTGCAGCACCAGCATGGCTTTATGAAACAACGGTCTACCACTACCAATCTTCTGGAACTAACATCCTTCGTGATCACTGGTTTCCAAAATAAACTTCAGACGGATGTCATTTACACTTCAGTAAAGCATTTGACTCCGTGAATCACGGCCTTCTTTTAGAAAAACTCGATCTTATTGGGATTCCTACTAAACTGCTGGGTTGGATTAGCAGTTACCTCACATCGCAACGAGTTCTTTTTAAAAATTCAGTGTCTGCTTTAGTCTACGCTTCTTCCCTCAGGGGATCATCTTGGTCGGTTACTTTTTACTTTATTCATTAATGACCTTCCCTTGGTTGTTAATGACTCTCTAGTACCTATGTATGCAGACGATGTCAAACTCTGTCTGCAATATACCGATGCCTCCTACCAGGTGAAACTGCAATCTGACCTTAATAATTTTCAAAACTGGTGCTCTGCAAACATATTAAATCTTAATGGCTCTAAGTGCAAAGCAATGACCTTCTGCCGCCTAAGTCCTAAAGTTGCCACTTATACTCTGTATGGTGTAGCTCAGGAAAGAACTAATGCAGTTGATGATCTTGGCATCTTACTCGATGCAAAACTTAAGTTTTCCGACCATATTTCCTCTATGGTTAATAAAGCTAGAGGAGTGCTTGGTTTCACTAGAAGGTGGTCGAAGGAATTTAACCTATGTTACCAAAACACTTTTTATTTCTTTAGTTCGTGTGAATCTGGAATATGGATCTGGGACCCCCAGTATGGGGTTCACCAGTGCCTTATTGAATCCATCCAAAAGAATTTTTTTATATTTGCTCTCCGCGGTCTCAACTGGGATGCAAACATACACCTTCCTTCTTATAAAAGTAGACTCTTACTAATTAATTTGCCCTCCCTCGCTAATCGTAGGACGATGCTTGTTGTCATCTTTATCCATAATCTTCATAAGGGTGAAATCGGTAGCCAGGCCCTATAAACTCGAATATAATAAATAAAGCCCAACATATATTCTAGAGTAACCACTCCAGTCGATTGATTTCTTTTTTTTTACGTAGCGATTTACGTAGATACGTATAGATGCTGATATTTCTAGAATTTGAGTCTACATCATTAACCTTTTTTCAATTTACATACCTCCAGATTGGGAGCGTGAGCCTGTGGGCAACCATACACCGAACCGGCTTCAACAGTACGTACGGGCGGCGGTATCCGGGGCACTGTGCGTTGGCCGAAGTTGTAAATACTCATTTTTTGTGGAGCAAATCGACTCTCGAGTGACAGTCGGACGTCTTCGATGTTGTTTGTCTTGTACGTTGACTCGAATCCTTCAGACGGGCAGGGCATCACAAGGATCCGAGAGGTGATGTGACTGATGTCCAGATCACTGCGACCGATTGAATGCTGCATTGTTTGCATTACTTTAGTTGATGTATCCTTTATGTTTTTAAGCAGCGTGCCTGCGCCACCACGCAGCGACGACAGCAGACTACCGTGTCCATTACTGGAGGATGAAACGGTGGTGGCTATATGCGCTGTGGTATTAGGTGATTCGTTACTATCTGCCTGTAAAGATTCGATAGGAATTCCATGCAGTTCTATAGGGCCTTTCAGCAACCATTTGTTTGTCTCTGCGATAGCTGCAAGACGTTCCAGCACCATGTCAATGTCCAGACGCTCGGCCGGGTTCACTTTAAAACAGCCCCTGATAATGTCGCGGAAGCACTGATACTGAGGATCCGGCGGGAGAATATAGTTGGCGTTGATTATGCGCAGTTTGCCACCATCCTCGTAGGGATGTTTACGAAAGCACAGAAAGTAAAGGATGCAGCCGAGAGCCCATATGTCTGCTGGGGGCCCAATCGGGTTGTTGGACCAAGTGTCGAGCATCTCAGGGGATCGGTACATTGGCGTGGTTACGGTGTTTAATTGATCTTCCAGCATGTTGCGCTGGTTTACACTCCACTCGATTTTGGGTGAGAGCACCTGCTTGGTGGCGGAGCCAAAGTCACACAGCTTGATCTGATTGTTATTGCCAATAAGGAAGTTTTCGATCTGGAACAAAATTAAATGGGATTAGGCCGTGAGCCGCGTTAGGGTAGCACACGTACCTTTATGTCTCGATGGGTGATCGGAGGCAATTGTGAGTGCAGGCAGGCCACGGCTCGTGCCATTTGATAGAAGATGCTCAGCACCAATGGAGGATTGATGATGACATTATGTGTTTTAAAGAGGTCCACCAGCGAGCCGCCTGCAAGTCAATAAAAAGGAGGAGTTATTACTAACAATATTTAATGTTGAACACTAAATTCCCTTACCTTTGCAAAGTTCTGTGAGGAGCAAATATTGGGCACCCTGCTGAGCAACCGGGGCCGTGTAACTGGAACCAGCGAAGGCGACAATATTTTCGTGGCCAGAGAGCTGTTTGTGTATGCCGATTTCGTTGATAATAGCGGAACAAGCTTGCTGATCTGGCCCGATCAGTCGTTTCAGGGCGTACTCGGTTCCAGTTTGCATATCTTGGACTTTGTAAACAAAAGCGTATCCGCCTGAAATATAGTTGGAAGTTTTGATAAGAGATTGATTAAATACTGGCCACAGTAAGTACAACGAAATGAGTAGTTTCTATCTGGTATTTTATTATCTTTGAAAAAATATTCTGTAGAGTTCCTCCCCTTTCTCCTACTATATTTGTTTTTGTATAAGAACACGTCTGAGAAACCCCTATAACTTAGGTCTGGCAAGCCCAAGCATTCCTTGAATTCATTCATGGGAAAACTGTTATTGTTATGGCAAGCTAAACCAAAGTGTAGAGAATTGCTCGGATCGGTCTTGTACGGCTATTGGATTGACTTCTTATTGATTTTTCGACGAAGCCTCTCCTCACCTTCGGCGATTATGCACTTGATGCGTAGCTTGTGGCCAGCCACCTCGACCACCTGTCCAACGAAATCGTTTTCCAGTCTACCCACGAGGCCACTTCCTGCTAATGAAGCTCCACTGACAGACGTAACGCCCTCGCTAGAGAAGTAGGTAAAGTTAATAGATTTAAAGAAGTCGCCCATTTTGCAAATGGTCGACGCTAGCGCGTGTGCTGGTCACAAACTGATGGATTTTTACTACTGGCGCCCGTTCAAACAACTAATACATTTTGCCTTCGCAGTAGCCACGAATAAGTATCAATTTAATTTGCTCAATGCCTATCGAAAAACAGCTGTTGTTATCCACTTCTTATAAATAGTGCGACCATATCTATGGGAAAATCCAGAACAATATATTTTCAACATTAATGAATTAGTGTGACTGAGAGAAACTAAATTAATATTGTGTTGGATGTAAAAAAAGCTGTATGATTATATGAAAAAAAATGTATAGAATTGGAAACACATTTTAGATTCGCACTGTTTTAATAGGCAGAATTGTAAAGATCATATTGAACCAACAAAAAAGATATGGATTTGTTACTTTCGTGTTCTGTGAATGTTTTATAGTTGTGTGTGTATTATATGCGTCGTATAATGCAAATTTTGTGAAAATCAAGTTTTTTAACACACTTATATAAAAATGGGATGGTCACACCAATCCCTGACCACCATGAAAATAAATATTTAATTTATCGATAAATTATAATTATTTTTATGTTTGTTTACTGAAGGCCTAAAGCAAAAGTCCGAAGCACAAATTTTTTACCATGGCGCAAGTGAAGCGGTATAGGAGATCATCCGAAGACGGATACCAGGACAACGAGGAGTTTGTGCCATATGTGCCGGTTAAAGAGCGAAAGAGGCAGCACATGATAAAGTTGGGTCGGATCGTGCAACTGGCTTCAGAGACTGCACAACCAAAGTCCTCTAGCGAAAATGAGAACGAGGACGACTTTCAGGGAAATCACAACGCAGAGACCTGGGGACGCAAGTACAACATAAGTTTGCTGGACCAGCACACAGAACTGAAGAAGATTGCGGAGGCGAAAAAGCTAAGTGCTGTGGAGAAGCAGCTTCGCGAGGAGGAGAAGATCATGGAGAGCATTGCCCAGCAGAAAGCGCTTATGGGTGTTGCTGAGTTGGCAAAGGGCATTCAGTACGAGGAGCCTATCAAGACTGGCTGGCGACCGCCGCGATACTTTCGGTCGGTGTCTGTGGACGAGCACCAGGCCGTTCGTCAACAACTGAGGATCGTAGTGGAGGGCGAGAACCCAACTCCGCCCGTTCGCAGTTTCCGAGAAATGAAGTTCCCAGAAGGCATTATCAACGGCTTGACCGCCAAAGGCATTAGTTATCCAACACCGATCCAGGTACAAGGCTTGCCCACTGTTCTGGCAGGTCGAGATCTGATTGGCATTGCCTTCACCGGATCCGGCAAAACACTGGTATTTGTGCTGCCTGTTATCATGTTTGCCCTTGAACAAGAGTACAGACTTCCATTTGAACAAAACGAGGGTCCCTACGGGCTAATCATTTGTCCGTCCCGCGAGCTAGCTAAGCAAACGCACGAGATCATTGAACACTATTGTAAGCACCTTCAGGCTTGTGGGATGCCTGAGGTGCGCTCTTGCCTGGCCATGGGAGGTTTACCGGTCAGCGGGGCCCTGGATGTAATCTCGCGCGGCGTACACATAGTTGTGGCTACCCCCGGTCGACTCATGGACATGCTTGACAAGAAGATTCTTACGCTAGACATGTGCCGATACCTGTGCATGGATGAGGCTGACCGAATGATTGACATGGGTTTCGAAGAAGACGTACGTACGATTTTCTCGTTTTTTAAAGGTCAGCGACAGACACTACTTTTCTCGGCCACCATGCCAAAGAAGATTCAAAACTTTGCTCGCTCCGCTCTTGTTAAGCCAGTCACGATAAATGTGGGCCGAGCAGGTGCCGCATCGATGAATGTAACGCAGCAAGTTGAATATGTGAAGCAGGAGGCCAAGGTGGTTTATTTGCTGGACTGTCTTCAGAAGACCGCTCCACCCGTTCTCATTTTTGCAGAGAAAAAGCAAGACGTGGACTGCATACATGAGTACTTATTACTGAAGGGTGTTGAGGCTGTGGCAATACATGGCGGTAAAGATCAGGAAGACCGGTCACGGGCCGTGGACGCTTACCGCGTTGGCAGAAAAGATGTTCTGGTGGCCACCGACGTAGCTTCAAAGGGCCTGGACTTTCCCAACGTGCAACACGTTATTAACTACGACATGCCGGACGATATCGAGAATTATGTACATCGCATAGGTCGCACAGGGCGCTCAAACACTAAGGGTTTGGCAACCACGCTGATTAACAAAATGACCGAACAGTCTGTACTACTTGACCTGAAGCATCTGCTTATTGAGGGAAGGCAGCAGGTTCCTGACTTCTTGGATGAGCTGGCACCAGAGGCTGAACACCAGCACTTAGACTTAGGTGACTCCCATGGCTGTACCTACTGTGGCGGACTGGGCCATCGTATAACAGAGTGTCCAAAGCTGGAAGCAGTTCAGAATAAGCAGGCCTCAAACATAGGACGTCGGGACTATCTTTCTAATACAGCTGCTGATTATTAAAGATCTACGATCACATAATTATAAGATTACTATGACGATAGAATAAATAGATAAGTGTATATATATTCATATTTACATTTCTGGGAATTTTTCAACATTTTTAGTTACCGTGATCTCCGCGTTCTTACAGAACGTTGTTGTTGAGCGGGTCTTGGTCGTAAGAGTGGGTGTGGCCGTATAATAATACCACCTCAAAATGCGCCGCCATTTCAAGATTATTCATGCTTAATCCTAGTTTTCTAGTTTTCAAACATCTACGATTTTATTTTTTTTTCGCTTTCGTAAGGCCAGACGAATAGACAGACATGGCTTAATCGACTTGGCTATTGATCTTGGTCAAGAATATAGGTTCGGACACGACTTCTTCTACCTTCCTTCTTTCAATATATCCTTTTACTCTACAAGTAAAGAGTATAAAAAATGAATGTGTCGTGTTTGTTTCAAATAATGTGTGTTGTATCATTATAAAACATATATGTATGTAGCTTCTTGCGAAAGTATTGTTTCCTTAAAATATCTTAAAATTTAAAGTCAGACTGTATTTAATTTGTGCAAGTAGAAAAAAGTAAGCTAGTCATGAAGGCTGATAACATAAACGTGAATACAATCATTAAGAAAAACAACAACTTTTAAAGCAATAATTTTCTAAGGTCATCATTGGATGATGATTTGTCTTATCACTTGTTTTTGAAAAATAGAATTGAATTTTAGACTATCATTGCTTTTAAAGGAAAGCCAAGTTCCTTTGTAGACATGATTTATTATAAGAGAATATTCCTAACATATAGTAACTATGAACTACTGCTGAACTATGAACTACTGGATAGTTAGAATAGAAAATTGGAATTATGAATGTATGTCATAGGCCACAAATGGCCCCTAAGCACCAAGGGATTGGGCACCACGCATATTAATAAAATCACCAAACTGTCTGTATTTTAGACCAGAAGCCCCTGCTCATTGTGGAAAGAAGGCAGGAGCCTGAGTTCTAAGACGTCCTGAATCGTAGACTAAGGACCACCTTATACACTTCGGTGAATCTCACATAGCTTAACCAAGGGCATCATAGGTTGAACAAAGCTGGAGGCAGTTCGAAACAAGTTGTATAACACTGTTGCGAATTATAAGGGCACTACGATCACCCAATTATAAGATTACTACGATAGAAATAGACTAGTGTAGATACGCATATTTACATTTCTGGGATTTTTTTCGGATTTGCTTTCACTATAGATTCACTGTTTAGCTTATTGTACGAGCTTTGCTTATCTATGGATCACCCAAGCAAAATTAAAGTCGTTCCCAGACGTAAGCGCAATTCAGACTTGAGACGAATTTATAAAAGCGAAGATGAGCTTTAGCTTTCGTTTAGTGTCTGAGACATAGCTCTGCCCGCCAGTCGCTCGAAACTTAGTTCTGAAATTGAAAAGAGTAATCGTGTTGTAAGTGTTGCTTGCATCAGTATCAATAGCGAAGTCGATTTATTCATGTCCGTCTGTCCGTATGAACGCTGAGATCTCAGGAACTATAGGATATACAGAGTTGAGATTAAGCAGGCAGATTCTTGAGGTGCCTACGCGCATGTTTATTTCAGCATCCTATCACGCCCACCAAACCTGGGGAGTCCATAATATTATAGTGTATGTCTTCGTTTGACCTTGTATAACTTATTTTTGCCAATATCTATCGATTTACTCAAGATTTTTCCAATCGGAACTTAATTTTGCTATGTATGGAGAAATGTAGGTTATAAGGCCTGACATGGACAGTGACGTCACCATCAGTTAGAAAATTGCTTTTTGGCAAAAGGTAGCAATTTTAAACATATTAACCCAAAAAAGTAATTTTTACGCACGAAAATTATTCGTACACTTCATAAAATAAATTAAATTAAGGGCCGACTGTAAGTACCACTCAGTGGTACTCAGAATCTTTGTTCCCTTTCAATTTACTACATTAATAATTCTCTTATTTTCAGTACATACGCTCTCAGTAGGAAGAATCGTCTCTATTTGAGCAAAAGATAAAACACAGTTCATAATAACGTATACCCAAACAGATTGGTTGTGTACATTATACTCGACCTGTTATATTTATCATTAGAATAAACAGAGCTCCCAGGGATCCCCTCACCACCCTCGGCTGACGACCAAGAGGCAAAATGGCAGCGTCTGGCGACGCAAGCATGGCAGTCATCTCCAGGTAATGCAAGCAAACAGATTGCCGGCAAAATATTTTGGCAGACATACCTAGATATAAGTTTTCCCTGATTAATTAAGTGTACTAATGATTAAACAAAAATCTAGTAAGTAACAAAAATAGTAAGTGCACATAATTTGTAAAAATTGAGATGACTAATGTTTTGTCTAGTGTCCGCTATTAACAAATTTTACAATTTTGGTATCACTATTACGTTTTGGACATGACTCACATGAAAATAGATGTTTATTTGGTAAAGGTAAAAATAGTATTATAACATTTTTAAATACTTAATTTTAAAATTTGTCAACAGACAGCCTAAGCGGATAAAAGCGATCATTATTATAAAAGCAAGATTTTCTAAGTCTTCAAATTAAAAAATCTAACTAGAATTTCATTTTTGGAGGTTGAAGATGAAAATAGATATAAGTTCTCCATTAACGGCTATCTGGTTGTCTGTTTCAGCTTGAGCGTGTTATTTGCCCTCTCATCTAGTCTCTGCTCAGCCAGCAGCATTAACACTCGCCCCGCGTTCGCCGTTGAAGCTGATCAAATCCAACAAAACGGGCAGAACGGAAAGCAGCCCGGAAAACGAGTCATGCATTCGGCCTTCGAGAACGCTGGTCATACCCCAGGTCTGGAGATTTGGCGCATTGAGGTGAGTCATATCTTGGTGTACAATTCTAAATTGGTCGAGTGCGAAGACGCGTATAAATAGATTACTTCGATAAAATGTGTCGGAAAGAGCTCGAACCTTCAAGAGGCTTGGATGAAAACTATGACGCATACCAAAGATACCCTTAAACTGATGAAACTCAGGCATACATATGTATATTAAGTATGTATGTATGTTTATACATATGTGTATATACGAGTATATCTTTAGCCGCTTTGTATGCAAAATTATTACTAATATTATTAATATTCAATGTCCCGAAATCATTTTCTCAAACATCGCCGAAAATTACAAGGTTCAAACTAGTATGATTCGGACTACCATGCGGTATATTCCTGAAAAAAAGTTTTAAATTCTAGCAGTTTGTTACACCCTTGCATTCAGAAAAATAATATAAATTGACATTTGTTTTATTAATATTGGATCAATATTAACTTTATTTTGCTTACGGTTATACAGAATTTTGAGCCTGTTCCCTATCCAAAAAATGACTATGGAAAATTTTACACTGGCGACTCGTTTATAATTCTTAATGTAAGTATATGTAAAACCAAAGATTTTATTTAAATATATTTATCATATTAACAGAAAAAAACATGTTGAAATAAGCTGAGATCTCACTAACCTTTACTAACCTGCTCTAACGCCCAAAAACCGAGGAAAACTATGGAGACTATTAGGAAATTTAGGTTATAACGCCTTACATGGGCAGTGCCATCACATATAGTATTAAAAATTTGTTTTTTTTTTTATAAAAGGTGGAGCTGGTAAAATTATGAATATTATGTAATCGTTAAATAGTATGTAAAAGGCAGTAGGTGGCGTTTCCAACCCTATAATGTGTTTTTATTTATGATCAGGACAAATAGCCAAGTCGATTTAGCCATGCCCGCCAGTCTGTCCGTTTTTCCGTCTGTCCATCTGTTCGTCCGTCCGTTCATCTCTCTGTATGAACGCTGAGATCTCATGAACTATATAACACACAACATAAGGCATGTCGATTTTTAAGACTCCTATGCAGCGCTAACTTATCTCAGAGCCCTGTTTCGCCCACGCTGACGTAATCTGCAATAATAATGACAACGAATGATATCATTATCGGGACCAATCTCAAAAAACTCCTACCGTTTGTTGTAGAAACGGTAATGAAAAGTATAGACAGTTGGAATTAAGCTTTAACGCCCACAAAACGCGAAAAACCCAAAACGATAATATCTCAGGATTGCCACCATAATACAATTTATGTTTCTGTTTGACCTTGTATGACTTTTTTTTTTGTTAATATTTATCAATACACCAATAATATTTAAATCGGATAATTTTTTCGAGATTTATTGAGAAAGGTGCGTTATAAGGCCTCACTTCACCATCAGTTATTAAACATGTTTTTTTTAAATAGTTATAATGATTCGGCGTAACTTGTTATTGTTTTATTTATTTATTTATGTTTTTATTTTATTTATGCGCATATGTAAGAAGTAGAATGACTAAATATAATAATACTTTTTTATGCACTATGAATTAACCAAAAAATGTTTAATCTGAACCTTGTTATCTAATTTTTTAATTTAATAAAATAAAGAATATTATTACGGACTCGTAACGAGTATTCAACCTTTTTGGTGTTTAAAATAACTATCTAAAGGTTCCAACACTGTCAACAAATACTGTACTAGAGTTCATTTCTGACCCATACCGAAACATAACCTTCAGACAGATTCACCCGGATGTTATTAATAAAGCAATAAATATATAACTTAATCTTAATATTTCAAATATTTTAAAGACAATTGAAAATAGGAGAGACAAAAAACTGTCTTGGGATGTGCACTTCTGGCTTGGATCAGAGACGTCTACTGACGAGGCCGGATCTGCAGCTATTTTCACTGTCCAGTTAGATGATTTGTTGAACGGGGGTCCGATCCAACACCGCGAGGTGCAGGACCACGAGTCACAGTTATTTCTCGGCTACTTCAAAAATGGTAAATCTAGTTATTTCCGTTTGAATCTCATTAAACTAAATATATTTGCAGGTATTCGCTACCAACAGGGCGGCGTCGGATCTGGTTTCAAACACGTAGAGAGCAATGCCCAGGGGGAGAAGCGACTATTTCAGGTCAAGGGCAAGCGCAACGTGCGAGTACGCCAAGTGTACCTGTCCGTATCGTCGATGAACAAGGGCGATTGCTTTATTTTAGATGCCGGAAGCGATATATATGTCTACGTGGGCTCCCAGGCAAAGCGAGTCGAGAAACTGAAGGCAATAAGCGCTGCAAACCAGATCAGAGACCAGGATCACAACGGTCGAGCCCGAGTTCAAATCATCGACGAATTTAGCATTGATTTCGATAAACAGCATTTCTTTGATGTGCTTGGGTCGGGTTCAGATGACAAGGTGCCTGAGGAGTCAGCCTCCGACGAGGATGGTGCGTTCGAGAGGTTAGACGCCGCAGCGGTTATCCTCTACAAGGTTAGCGACTCCAGTGGCAAATTGAAAGTCGACGTAATTAGCCAAAAACCATTAACCCAGACTATGCTGGATACACACGAATGCTTTATCCTTGACACCGGTTCCGGAATATTCGTTTGGGTCGGAAAGGGCGCCTCTCAAAAGGAGAAGACTGATGCCATGATCAAAGCACAGGAGTTTTTACGCAGCAAAAAGTACCCGGCGTGGACTCAAATTCACCGCATTGTGGAAGGCGCTGAGTCTGCACCATTTAAGCAGTATTTTGCTACCTGGCGTGATGTTGGAATGGCGCATACTCGTCTCATTCGCTCGGCTTTGGACATCGGCTCTTATGAATCACTAGATGTCGACCAAATCGACGGTGTGGTGTCTCAGATGAAGAAGAGCGGCGGTCGGGCCTTCGGCTTCATGCCTGATCATGGTCAAAACTGTATTGAAACCATTACCCAGTATGTTACTAAGACTGGCTCTGATGAAATCTTAACCAACACCGTGTCTTTTGAGGAGAGCGTCCCCCTTCAGGGATTCGCTTCATATGTTCTCACTTATAACTATGAGGACAATACCGGAGACACTGGTTTCATAACGTATGTTTGGCAGGGAATAAACTCTTCCTCCGCCGCAAAGAAGCGTGCCGTGAAGATGGGTCTAGATGTCGCAGAAAAGCAGGAAGGTCTTTTTGTGTTGGTCAACCATGGCCACGAGCCTCGCCACTTCTATAAGATATTTAAAGGACAGTTGATAACATCCTACACGGCACTCCCGGTAGCTGCACAACTTTTCCGCATACGAGGCACTGTAGAAAGCGATGTGCATGCCAATGAGGTACCTGCTGAAAGTTTATCCTTGGCCTCGCGTGATGCCTTCGTCCTTCTTTCTGGACATTCCCACAGGATATATATTTGGAACGGCATGGGCGCATCTGCCTTTGAGAAAAAAGTTGCCTTAAATCGCTTCTCCCTGTACTGGGATGACGTTGAGTTTGAGAATGTGGAGGAGGGTGCGGAATCAGATGAGTTCTGGGAGGAGTTAAACGGCGAAGGCCAGTACGATCGGAGCTTGAGCGATCCAGGGGCACCGCTGCTGGATCCGCGCCTTTTCCATTGCCGTTTAAGCTCTAATGAATTTATTAAATTTGAGGAAGTGGCTAAGTACGAACAAGAGGACTTGGACTCCGATGACGTCATGCTAATGGATGCTGGAGATGAGCTCTACTTATGGGTTGGCTCTTGCACGACTGATGAGGAAAATTCGAAGTTTCTAGATATGGCTAAGGTTTTCTGTCAGAAAGGGATCACTCTGTTCCACATATAATTTTTTGTTAATCCACAGGTGTATATTCGAGCGGAGCCCACAGCGCGTTCCATCGACACGGTGACCGTTATCCGCGTCCCTCAGGGCAAGGAGCCCAACGTTTTCAAGCGCATGTTTCCTAGCTGGGATAACAATTACTGGAAGGTAAGTGATTGCCAATTTAGACACTTGATTAAACTAATACCGCTAGTTCATTAGAAACACATTAACCAGACCATATGCTTTCGATATTTAAAATTTGTTAGAATTGAAACGATTTTTTCTACAGAACTTGCCCTCCTATGAAGACATAAAGCGAAGTGTTTTTGATGCCAACAATAAGGTGTAAAACATTCTAAATACTGCTGAATAAAATGTACCAAAAAAACTGTGTTTGTTATGTATTGTTAAGACCTTTGCATATCTTATGTAACGTTACTGTACTGCCTGCTTGCCTTTCTATCTGTCTGTCTGTCTTTCTATAAGATATTTAAAGGACAGGGTGTTGAAGGGTGTTGAGGCTGTGGCAATACATGGCGGTAAAGATTAGGAAGACCGGTCACGGGCCGTGGACGCTTACCGCGTTGGCAGAAAAGATGTCCTGGTGGCCACCGACGTAGCTTCAAAGGACCTGGACTTTCCCAACGTTCAACGCGTTATTAACTACGACATGCCGGACGATATCGAGAATTATGTACATCGCATAGGTCGCACAGGGCGCTCAAACACTAAGGGTTTGGCAACCACTCTGATTAACAAAATGACCGAACAGTCTGTACTACTTGACCTGAAGCATCTGCTTATTGAGGGAAGGCAGCAGGTTCCTGACTTCTTGGATGAGCTGGCACCAGAGGCTGAACACCAGCACTTAGACTTAGGTGACTCCCATGGCTGTACCTACTGTGGCGGACTGGGCCATCGTATAACAGAGTGTCCAAAGCTGGAAGCAGTTCAGAATAAGCAGGCCTCAAACATAGGACGTCGGGACTATCCTTCTAATACAGCTGCTGATTATTAAAGATCTACGATCACATAATTATAAGATTACTAAGACGATAGAATAAATATATAGGTGTATATTTATTCATATTTACATTTCTGGGAATTTTTCAACATTTTTAGTTACCGTGATCTCCGCGTTCTTATAGAACGTTGTTGTTGAGCGGGTCTTGGTCGTAAGAGTGGGTGTGGCCGTATAATAATACCACCTCAAAATGCGCCGCCATTTCAAGATTATTCATGCTTAATCCTAGTTTTCTAGTTTTCAAACATCTACGATTTTATTTTTTTTTCGCTTTCGTAAGGCTAGACGAATAGACAGACATGGCTTAATCGACTTGGCTATTGATCTTGGTCAAGAATATAGGTTCGGACACGACTTCTTCTACCTTCCTTCTTTCAATATATCCTTTTACTCTACAAGTAAAGAGTATAAAAAATGAATGTGTCGTGTTTGTTTCAAATAATGTGTGTTGTATCATTATAAAACATATATGTATGTAGCTTCTTGCGAAAGTATTGTTTCCTTAAAATATCTTAAAATTTAAAGTCAGACTGTATTTAATTTGTGCAAGTAGAAAAAAGTAAGCTAGTCATGAAGGCTGACATAAACGTGAATACAATCATTAAGAAAAACAACAACTTTTAAAGCAATAATTTTCTAAGGTCATCATTGGATGATGATTTGTCTTATCACTTGTTTTTGAAAAATAGAATTGAATTTTAGACTATCATTGCTTTTAAAGGAAAGCCAAGTTCCTTTGTAGACATGATTTATTATAAGAGAATATTCCTAACATATAGTAACTATGAACTACTGCTGAACTATGAACTACTGGATAGTTAGAATAGAAAATTGGAATTATGAATGTATGTCATAGGCCACAAATGGCCCCTAAGCACCAAGGGATTGGGCACCACGCATATTAATAAAATCACCAAACTGTCTGTATTTTAGACCAGAAGCCCCTGCTCATTGTGGAAAGAAGGCAGGAGCCTGAGTTCTAAGACGTCCTGAAACCGTAGACTAAGGACCACCTTATACACTTCGGTGAATCTCACATAGCTTAACCAAGGGCATCATAGGTTGAACAAAGCTGGAGGCAGTTCGAAACAAGTTGTATAACACTGTTGCGAATTATAAGGGCACTACGATCACCCAATTATAAGATTACTACGATAGAAATAGACTAGTGTAGATACGCATATTTACATTTCTGGGATTTTTTCGGATTTGCTTTCACTATATATTCACTGTTTAGCTTATTGTACGAGCTTTGCTTATCTATGGATCACCCAAGCAAAATTAAAGTCGTTCCCAGACGTAAGCGCAATTCAGACTTGAGACGAATTTATAAAAGCGAAGATGAGCTTTAGCTTTCGTTTAGTGTCTGAGACATAGCTCTGCCCGCCAGTCGCTCGAAACTTAGTTCTGAAATGGAAAAGAGTAATCGTGTTGTAAGTGTTGCTTGCATCAGTATCAATAGCGAAGTCGATTTATTCATGTCCGTCTGTCCGTATGAACGCTGAGATCTCAGGATCTATAGGATATACAGAGTTGAGATTAAGCAGGCAGATTCTTGAGGTGCCTACGCACATGTTTATTTCAGCATCCTGTCACGCCCACCAAACCTGGGGAGTCCATAATATTATAGTGTGTGTCTTCGTTTGACCTTGTATAACTTATTTTTGCCAATATCTATCGGTTTACCAAGGATTTTTCTAATCGGAACATAATTTTGCTATGTATGGAGAAATGTAGGTTATAAGGCCTGACATGGACAGTGACGTCACCATCAGTTAGAAAATTGCTTTTTGGCAAAAGGTAGCAATTTTAAACATATTAACCCAAAAAAGTAATTTTTACGCACGAAAATTATTCGTACACTTCATAAAATAAATTAAATTAAGGGCCGACTGTAAGTACCACTCAGTGGTATTCAGAATCTTTGTTCCCTTTCAATTTACTACATTATTAATTCTCTTATTTTCAGTACATACGCTCTCAGTAGGAAGAATCGTCTCTATTTGAGCAAAAGACAAAACACAGTTCATAATAACGTATACCCAAACAGATTGATTGGTTATATTTATCATTACAATAAACAGATTTCCCAGGGATCCCCTCACCCCCCTCGGCTGATGACCAAGAGGCATTACATTAAGAATTATAAACGAGTCGCCAGTGTAAAATTTTCCATAGTTATTTTTTGGATAGGGAACAGGCTCAAAATTCTGCATAACCGTAAGCAAAATAAAGTTAATATTGATCCAATATTACAATCCAACAATTTATATTGTTTTTCTGAATGCAAAGGGTGTAACAAACTGCTAAAAATTTAAAACTTTATTTCAGGAATATACCGCATGGTAGTCCGAATCATACTAGTTTGAACCTTGTAATTTTCGGCGATGTTTAAGAAAATTATTTTGGGACATTGAATATTAATAATATTAGTAATACTTTTGCATTCAAAGCGGCTAAAGATATACTCGATTTAGCCATGCCCGCCAGTCTGTCCGTTTTTCCGTCTGTCCATCTGTTCGTCCGTCCGTTCATCTCTCTGTATGAACGCTGAGATCTCATGAACTATATAACACACAACATAAGGCATGTCGATTTTTAAGACTCCTATGCAGCGCAAACTTATCTCAGAGCCCTGTTTCGCCCACGCTGACATAATCTGCAATAATAATGACAACGAATAATATCATTATCGGGACCAATCTCAAAAAACTCCTACCGTTTGTTGTAGAAACGGTAATGAAAAGTATAGACAGTTGGAATTAAGCTTTAACGCCCACAAAACGCGAAAAACCCAAAACGATAATATCTCGGGATTGCCACCATAATAAAATTTATGTTTCTGTATGACTTTTTTTTTTGTTAATATGTATCAATACAATAATAATTTTTTAAATCGGATAATTTTTTCGAGATTTATTGAGAAAGGTGCGTTATAAGGCGTCACTTCACCATCAGTTATTAAACATGTTTTTTTTTAAATAGTTATAATGATTCGTCGTAACTTGTTATTGTTTTATTTATTTATTTATGTTTTTATTTTATTTATACACATATGTAAGAAGTAGAATGACTAAATATAATAATACTTTTTTATGCACTACGAATTAACCAAAAAATGTTTAATCTGAACCTTGTTATCTAATTTTTTAAAATAAAGGATATTATTACGGACTCGTAACGAGTATTCAACCTTTTTGGTGTTTCCAACACTGTCAACAAATACTGTACTAGAGTTCATTTCTGACCCATACCGAAACATAACCTTCAGACAGATTCACCCGGATGTTATGAATAAAGCAATAAATATATAACTTAATCTTAATATTTCAAATATTTTAAAGACAATTGAAAATAGGAGAGTCAAAAAACTGTCTTGGGATGTGCACTTCTGGCTTGGATCAGAGACGTCTACTGACGAGGCCGGATCTGCAGCTATTTTCACTGTCCAGTTGATGATTTGTTGAACGGGGGTCCGATCCAACACCGCGAGGTGCAGGACCACGAGTCACAGTTATTTCTCGGCTACTTCAAAAATGGTAAATCTAGTTATTTCCGTTTGAATCTCATTAAACTAAATATATTTGCAGGTATTCGCTACCAACAGGGCGGCGTCGGATCTGGTTTCAAACACGTAGAGAGCAATGCCCAGGGGGAGAAGCGACTATTTCAGGTCAAGGGCGATGAACAAGGGCGATTGCTTTATTTTAGATGCCGGAAGCGATATATATGTCTACGTGGGCTCCCAGGCAAAGCGAGTCGAGAAACTGAAGGCAATAAGCGCTGCAAACCAGATCAGAGACCAGGATCACAACGGTCGAGCCCGAGTTCAAATCATCGACGAATTTAGCATTGATTTCGATAAACAGCATTTCTTTGATGTGCTTGGGTCGGGTTCAGATGACAAGGTGCCTGAGGAGTCAGCCTCCGACGAGGATGGTGCGTTCGAGAGGTTAGACGCCGCAGCGGTTATCCTCTACAAGGTTAGCGACTCCAGTGGCAAATTGAAAGTCGACGTAATTAGCCAAAAACCATTAACCCAGACTATGCTGGATACACACGAATGCTTTATCCTTGACACCGGTTCCGGAATATTCGTTTGGGTCGGAAAGGGCGCCTCTCAAAAGGAGAAGACTGATGCCATGATCAAAGCACAGGAGTTTTTACGCAGCAAAAAGTACCCGGCGTGGACTCAAATTCACCGCATTGTGGAAGGCGCTGAGTCTGCACCATTTAAGCAGTATTTTGCTACCTGGCGTGATGTTGGAATGGCGCATACTCGTCTCATTCGCTCGGCTTTGGACATCGGCTCTTATGAATCACTAGATGTCGACCAAATCGACGGTGTGGTGTCTCAGATGAAGAAGAGCGGCGGTCGGGCCTTCGGCTTCATGCCTGATCATGGTCAAAACTGTATTGAAACCATTACCCAGTATGTTACTAAGACTGGCTCTGATGAAATCTTAACCAACACCGTGTCTTTTGAGGAGAGCGTCCCCCTTCAGGGATTCGCTTCATATGTTCTCACTTATAACTATGAGGACAATACCGGAGACACTGGTTTCATAACGTATGTTTGGCAGGGAATAAACTCTTCCTCCGCCGCAAAGAAGCGTGCCGTGAAGATGGGTCTAGATGTCGCAGAAAAGCAGGAAGGTCTTTTTGTGTTGGTCAACCATGGCACGAGCCTCGCCACTTCTATAAGATATTTAAAGGACAGTTGATAACATCCTACACGGCACTCCCGGTAGCTGCACAACTTTTCCGCATACGAGGCACTGTAGAAAGCGATGTGCATGCCAATGAGGTACCTGCTGAAAGTTTATCCTTCGCCTCGCGTGATCCCTTCGTCCTTCTTTCTGGACATTCCCACAGGATATATATTTGGAACGGCATGGGCGCATCTGCCTTTGAGAAAAAAGTTGCCTTAAATCGCTTCTCCCTGTACTGGGATGACGTTGAGTTTGAGAATGTGGAGGAGGGTGCGGAATCAGATGAGTTCTGGGAGGAGTTAAACGGCGAAGGCCAGTACGATCGGAGCTTGAGCGATCCAGGGGCACCGCTGCTGGATCCGCGCCTTTTCCATTGCCGTTTAAGCTCTAATGAATTTATTAAATTTGAGGAAGTGGCTAAGTACGAACAAGAGGACTTGGACTCCGATGACGTCATGCTAATGGATGCTGGAGATGAGCTCTACTTATGGGTTGGCTCTTGCACGACTGATGAGGAAAATTCGAAGTTTCTAGATATGGCTAAGGTTTTCTGTCAGAAAGGGATCACTCTGTTCCACATATAATTTTTTGTTAATCCACAGGTGTATATTCGAGCGGAGCCCACAGCGCGTTCCATCGACACGGTGACCGTTATCCGCGTCCCTCAGGGCAAGGAGCCCAACGTTTTCAAGCGCATGTTTCCTAGCTGGGATAACAATTACTGGAAGGTAAGTGATTGCCAATTTAGACACTTGATTAAACTAATACCGCTAGTTCATTAGAAAAACATTAACCAGACCATATGCTTTCGATATTTAAAATTTGTTAGAATTGAAACGATTTTTTCTACAGAACTTGCCCTCCTATGAAGACATAAAGCGAAGTGTTTTTGATGCCAACAATAAGGTGTAAAACATTCTAAATACTGCTGAATAAAATGTACCAAAAAAACTGTGTTTGTTATGTATTGTTAAGACCTTTGCATATCTTATGTAACGTTACTGTACTGCCTGCTTGCCTTTCTATCTGTCTGTCTGTCTTTCTATAAGATATTTAAAGGACAGGGTGTTGAAGGGTGTTGAGGCTGTGGCAATACATGGCGGTAAAGATTAGGAAGACCGGTCACGGGCCGTGGACGCTTACCGCTGAACACCAGCACTTAGACTTAGGTGACTCCCATGGTTGTACCTACTGTGGCGGACTGGGCCATCGTATAACAGAGTGTCCAAAGCTGGAAGCAGTTCAGAATAAGCAGGCCTCAAACATAGGACGTCGGGACTATCCTTCTAATACAGCTGCTGATTATTAAAGATCTACGATCACATAATTATAAGATTACTAAGACGATAGAATAAATATATAGGTGTATATTTATTCATATTTACATTTCTGGGAATTTTTCAACATTTTTAGTTAGCGTGATCTCCGCGTTCTTATAGAACGTTGTTTTTGAGCGGGTCTTGGTCGTAAGAGTGGGTGTGGCCGTATAATAATACCACCTCAAAATGCGCCGCCATTTCAAGATTATTCATGCTTAATCCTAGTTTTCTAGTTTTCAAACATCTACGATTTTATTTTTTTTTCGCTTTCGTAAGGCTAGACGAATAGACAGACATGGCTTAATCGACTTGGCTATTGATCTTGGTCAAGAATATAGGTTCGGACACGACTTCTTCTACCTTCCTTCTTTCAATATATCCTTTTACTCTACAAGTAAAGAGTATAAAAAATGAATGTGTCGTGTTTGTTTCAAATAATGTGTGTTGTAATATTATAAAACATATATGTATGTAGCTTCTTGCGAAAGTATTGTTTCCTTAAAATATCTTAAAATTTAAAGTCAGACTGTATTTAATTTGTGCAAGTAGAAAAGAGTAAGCTAGTCATGAAGGCTGATAACATAAACGTGAATACAATCATTAAGAAAAACAACAACTTTTAAAGCAATAATTTTCTAAGGTCATCATTGGATGATGATTTGTCTTATCACTTGTTTTTGAAAAATAGAATCGAATTTTAGACTATCATTGCTTTTAAAGGAAAGCCAAGTTCCTTTGTAGACATGATTTATTATAAGAGAATATTCCTAACATATAGTAACTATGAACTACTGCTGAACTATGAACTACTGGATAGTTAGAATAGAAAATTGGAATTATGAATGTATGTCATAGGCCACAAATGGCCCCTAAGCACCAAGGGATTGGGCACCACGCATATTAATAAAATCACCAAACTGTCTGTATTTTAGACCAGAAGCCCCTGCTCATTGTGGAAAGAAGGCAGGAGCCTGAGTTCTAAGACGTCCTGAAACCGTAGACTAAGGACCACCTTATACACTTCGGTGAATCTCACATAGCTTAACCAAGGGCATCATAGGTTGAACAAAGCTGGAGGCAGTTCGAAACAAGCTGTATAACACTGTTGCGAATTATAAGGGCACTACGATCACCCAATTATAAGATTACTACGATAGAAATAGACTAGTGTAGATACGCATATTTACATTTCTGGGATTTTTTCGGATTTGCTTTCACTATATATTCACTGTTTAGCTTATTGTACGAGCTTTGCTTATCTATGGATCACCCAAGCAAAATTAAAGTCGTTCCCAGACGTAAGCGCAATTCAGACTTGAGACGAATTTATAAAAGCGAAGATGAGCTTTAGCTTTCGTTTAGTGTCTGAGACATAGCTCTGCCCGCTAGTCGCTCGAAACTTAGTTCTGAAATGGAAAAGAGTAATCGTGTTGTAAGTGTTGCTTGCATCAGTATCAATAGCGAAGTCGATTTATTCATGTCCGTCTGTCCGTATGAACGCTGAGATCTCAGGATCTATAGGATATACAGAGTTGAGATTAAGCAGGCAGATTCTTGAGGTGCCTACGCACATGTTTATTTCAGCATCCTGTCACGCCCACCAAACCTGGGGAGTCCATAATATTATAGTGTGTGTCTTCGTTTGACCTTGTATAACTTATTTTTGCCAATATCTATCGGTTTACCAAGGATTTTTCTAATCGGAACATAATTTTGCTATGTATGGAGAAATTTAGGTTATAAGGCCTAACATGGACAGTGACGTCACCATCAGTTAGAAAATTGCTTTTTGGCAAAAGGTAGCAATTTTAAACATATTAACCCAAAAAAGTAATTTTTACGCACGAAAATTATTCGTACACTTCATAAAATAAATTAAATTAAGGGCCGACTGTAAGTACCACTCAGTGGTATTCAGAATCTTTGTTCCCTTTCAATTTACTACATTATTAATTCTCTTATTTTCAGTACATACGCTCTCAGTAGGAAGAATCGTCTCTATTTGAGCAAAAGACAAAACACAGTTCATAATAACGTATACCCAAACAGATTGATTGGTTATATTTATCATTACAATAAACAGATTTCCCAGGGATCCCCTCACCACCCTCGGCTGATGACCAAGAGGCATTACATTAAGAATTATAAACGAGTCGCCAGTGTAAAATTTTCCATAGTTATTTTTTGGATAGGGAACAGGCTCAAAATTCTGCATAACCGTAAGCAAAATAAAGTTAATATTGATCCAATATTACAATCCAACAATTTATATTGTTTTTCTGAATGCAAGGGTGTAACAAACTGCTAAAAATTTAAAACTTTATTTCAGGAATATACCGCATGGTAGTCCGAATCATACTAGTTTGAACCTTGTAATTTTCGGCGATGTTTAAGAAAATTATTTTGGGACATTGAATATTAATAATATTAGTAATAATTTTGCATTCAAAGCGGCTAAAGACATACTCGATTTAGCCATGCCCGCCAGTCTGTCCGTTTTTCCGTCTGTCCATCTGTTCGTCCGTCCGTTCATCTCTCTGTATGAACGCTGAGATCTCATGAACTATATAACACACAACATAAGGCATGTCGATTTTTAAGACTCCTATGCAGCGCAAACTTATCTCAGAGCCCTGTTTCGCCCACGCTGACATAATCTGCAATAATAATGACAACGAATAATATCATTATCGGGACCAATCTCAAAAAACTCGTACCGTTTGTTGTAGAAACGGTAATGAAAAGTATAGACAGTTGGAATTAAGCTTTAACGCCCACAAAACGCGAAAAACCCAAAACGATAATATCTCGGGATTGCCACCATAATAAAATTTATGTTTCTGTATGACTTTTTTTTTTGTTAATATGTATCAATACACCAATAATTTTTTAAATCGGATAATTTTTTCGAGATTTATTGAGAAAGGTGCGTTATAAGGCGTCACTTCACCATCAGTTATTAAACATGTTTTTTTTTAAATAGTTATAATGATTCGGCGTAACTTGTTATTGTTTTATTTATTTATTTATGTTTTTATTTTATTTATACACATATGTAAGAAGTAGAATGACTAAATATAATAATACTTTTTTATGCACTACGAATTAACCAAAAAATGTTTAATCTGAACCTTGTTATCTAATTTTTTAAAATAAAGGATATTATTACGGACTCGTAACGAGTATTCAACCTTTTTGGTGTTTAAAATAACTATCTAAAGGTTCCAACACTGTCAACAAATACTGTACTAGAGTTCATTTCTGACCCATACCGAAACATAACCTTCAGACAGATTCACCCGGATGTTATGAATAAACCAATAAATATATAACTTAATCTTAATATTTCAAATATTTTAAAGACAATTGAAAATAGGAGAGTCAAAAAACTGTCTTGGGATGTGCACTTCTGGCTTGGATCAGAGACGTCTACTGACGAGGCCGGATCTGCAGCTATTTTCACTGTCCAGTTGATGATTTGTTGAACGGGGGTCCGATCCAACACCGCGAGGTGCAGGACCACGAGTCACAGTTATTTCTCGGCTACTTCAAAAATGGTAAATCTAGTTATTTCCGTTTGAATCTCATTAAACTAAATATATTTGCAGGTATTCGCTACCAACAGGGCGGCGTCGGATCTGGTTTCAAACACGTAGAGAGCAATGCCCAGGGGGAGAAGCGACTATTTCAGGTCAAGGGCAAGCGCAACGTGCGAGTACGCCAAGTGTACCTGTCCGTATCGTCGATGAACAAGGGCGATTGCTTTATTTTAGATGCCGGAAGCGATATATATGTCTACGTGGGCTCCCAGGCAAAGCGAGTCGAGAAACTGAAGGCAATAAGCGCTGCAAACCAGATCAGGGACCAGGATCACAACGGTCGTGCCCGAGTTCAAATCATCGACGAATTTAGCATTGATTTCGATAAACAGCATTTCTTTGATGTGCTTGGGTCGGGTTCAGATGACAAGGTGCCTGAGGAGTCAGCCTCCGACGAGGATGGTGCGTTCGAGAGGTTAGACGCCGCAGCGGTTATCCTCTACAAGGTTAGCGACTCCAGTGGCAAACTGAAAGTCGACGTAATTAGCCAAAAACCATTAACCCAGACTATGCTGGATACACACGAATGCTTTATCCTCGACACCGGTTCCGGAATATTCGTTTGGGTCGGAAAGGGCGCCTCTCAAAAGGAGAAGACTGATGCCATGATCAAAGCACAGGAGTTTTTACGCAGCAAAAAGTACCCGGCGTGGACTCAAATTCACCGCATTGTGGAAGGCGCTGAGTCTGCACCATTTAAGCAGTATTTTGCTACCTGGCGTGATGTTGGAATGGCGCATACTCGTCTCATTCGCTCGGCTTTGGACATCGGCTCTTATGAATCACTAGATTTCGACCAAATCGACGGTGTGGTGTCTCAGATGAAGAAGAGCGGCGGTCGGGACTTCGGCTTCATGCCTGATCATGGTCAAAACTGTATTGAAACCATTACCCAGCATGTTACGAAGACGGGCTCTGATGAAATCTTGGGCAACACCGTGTCTTTTGAGAAGAGCGTCCCCCTTCAGGGATTCGCTTCATATGTTCTCACTTATAACTATGAAGACAATAACGGAGACACTGGTTCCATAACGTATGTTTGGCAGGGAAAAAATTCTTCCTCACGTGCCGTGAAGATGGGTCTAGATGTCGCAGAAAAGCAGGAAGGTCTTATTGTGTTGGTCAACCATGGCCACGAGCCTCGCCACTTCTATAAGATATTTAAAGGACAGTTGATAACATCTTACGAGGCACCGTAGAAAGCGATGTGCATGCCAATGAGGTACCTGCTGAAAGTTTATCCTTGGCCTCGCGTGATGCCTTCGTCCTTCTTTCTGGACAGTCCCACAGGATATATATTTGGAACGGCATGGGCGCATCTGCCTTTGAGAAAAAAGTTGCCTTAAATCGCTTCTCCCTGTACTGGGATGACGTTGAGTTTGAGAATGTGGAGGAGGGTGCGGAATCAGATGAGTTCTGGGAGGAGTTAAACGGCGAAGGCCAGTACGATCGGAGCTTGAGCGATCCAGGGGCACCGCTGCTGGATCCGCGCCTTTTCCATTGCCGTTTAAGCTCTAATGAATTTATTAAATTTGAGGAAGTGGCTAAGTACGAACAAGAGGACTTGGACTCCGATGACGTCATGCTAATGGATGCTGGAGATGAGCTCTACTTATGGGTTGGCTCTTGCACGACTGATGAGGAAAATTCGAAGTTTCTAGATATGGCTAAGGTTTTGTGTCAGAAAGGGATCACTCTGTTCAACATATAATTCTTTGTTAATCCACAGCTGTATATTCGAGCGGAGCCCACAGCGCGTTCCATTGACACGGTGACCATCATCCGCGTCCCTCAGGGCAAGGAGCCCAACGTTTTCAAGCGCATGTTTCCTAGCTAAAAAAGTATTCAATAATATCCAAAAAAGTGCAGTGACTGGTTTCGTAAACCAAAACAACGCGAAAAGACGCTTTCAGCGATGAAAATCGCTAATGTTTATATTGATTAATTAATTAATTAATATAAAACAAAACACTAATTTTAACAAACTCAATCTCGACTGCAATGAGTTTAAACGACGTTCGCACACAACGTCAACGCGAGCAAGCCGAGAGACGGCTCTCAGTACAAAGAAACATCGCTTACTTCTCTTTCAAAGCAACCGAAAGTAATGCAAGCTCTTCACAAACACGGTCAATCACCCCAAACTTGACCGAATTCCGAACGTAGAGAGCGAGAGAGCGCGTTCTTGCTCCGCCTCCAGCCAAAGAGCGCAGCAACTAGCACCGCAATTTCTTTGACAACGTCAACCGTAACAACAACAACAACCGCAACTGTAACGACAGCGCGATTAACGACGTCATCAGCTAGCAGCGCAAACATTAATACTTCTGCCGCTGCGCTGCCCGAAAAAGAGAACAAAAACAAAGAAAGTATAAGGCCGGCTGTGCAGACTGGTATGGACCGCTACATCCATATCAAAAGGAAGCTAAGCCCCCTAAACTCTCAACGCAAAATAACCCGTGGCAATGCTAACATAGCTGCAATAGAAACGCCCTCTAACTCAAACCGTTTTAAAATCTCGGCAGACTATGAGGATGATGCCGAATTTACTGAAGTCGAAAAAAGTTCCAACGTTCTTGTCAACAATATTATAGAGCTTATTGGCAAGGACAATTTTCACATAATTTCACTCGTAAAGGGCAACATCCAGGAAACAAAAGTTCAAACGAAGTCTGAAGATAATTACAGAGTATTATCAAAATATATCACCGACAAAAAAAAAACTTTTACACGTATCAGCTAAAAAGTAGCAAGGGCCAGCAAGTCGTACTTAAGGGCATAGAGTCCGAAGTATCGCCTGCAGAGATAACAAAGGCGCTACAAGAGAAGGGATTTAGCGCTAAGACAGTCTTCAATATCCTTAACAAGGATAGAAAGCCGCAGCCACTCTTTAAGGTTGAGCTCGAACCAAAAATTAAGCCCCTAAAGAAATACGAAGTGCACCCTATATACAATCTTCAGTTCCTGCTGCACCGCAGAATTACGGTTGAGGAGCCGCACAAACGCAATGCCCCGGTACAATGTGCGAACTGCCAAGAATTTGGCCATACAAGGTCTTACTGTAAACTGCGCCCGGTGTGTGTAGTTTGTGGTGAGCTTCATGACTCCGCACACTGCTCAGAGAGCAAAGATGACCACAACTCAAAAAAGTGCGGCAACTGCGGTGGAAATCACACTGTTAACTAAAGAGGTTGCCCAGTTTATAAGGAGCTGAAAAGTCGAATCCACCAGAGGGGAATTACTGCCCGCACCCAAAATAAACAGTTGATAGCCTCCAGGTCAAACCCTGAAGTCCTCTTCTCGACTGCAGCCAGATCCTCACTAGGACCCATAAACTCTGCCAAAAATATTACATACGCAAGTGCTTTAAAATCAGGATTGTCTACCCCAGCCTCTAAAAGCTCATTGCCGCAATCAGCATACCAAAAACCAAACACGGCTCAGCAGCATCAACCGACAGAGCAGCCAAAATGTAACTTTGAAGCTATGATATGCAGTCTACAACAAAGCCTTACGAAGTTTATGTCGTTTATGCATACAACAATGCAAGATCTGATGCGAAACCAAAATCTATTAATACAAATGCTGGTTTCACAACAATCCAAATAATGACTTCCCTACGAATATCTACGTGGAACGCGTTTCGCAGCATAAACTCGAGTTAGCGCAATTCCTACTAGACAATCAAATCGACGTAATGCTGATTTCAGAAATACATCTTACAAACAGATACAATTTTCAACTACGAGGATATTCATTCTATGGAACAAACCATCCAGAAGCCGCATTAATATGAAATTTGCTCATATGAAATTTGCTAAAAACTACCTACAGGCCACATCCATAAATATATACCTACATACTGGCAAGCAATTAATGCTAGCCGCCGTATACTGCCCCCGACGCTTCACCATAGCCGAAGATGAGTTTATGCAGTTTTTCAACTCACTCGGAGACCACTTCATAGCAGCAGGAGACTACAATGCCAAGCACACACACTGGGGATCTCGTCTCGTGACTCCAAAAGGAAAGCAGCTCTATAATGCAATTATCAAAGCCAAGAACAAGCTCGACTATGTTTCCTCTGGCACACCAACATACTGGCCGGCAGACCCAAAGAAACTTCCGGATTTAATAGACTTTGCGATAACCGAAAACATTCCTAAAAACATGATAAGCGCCGAATGCCTTTCGGATCTTTCATCTGATCACTCGCCTGTCCTTTTTACTCTACTCCGACATCCAGGAACATGGGATCAACCATTAAAACTGACCTCACATAAAACCAATTGGGTTAAGTACAGGAAGTATATTAGCTCACACATTGAGCTAAGTCCTCACCTCAGCGATGAAGCCAACGTAGACAGTTTTGTTAATGCTCGAGTTTCAACACCTCATACTATAAACACACAATGCAATCAAAAGAAGTCAAATCTACAAATCGAACAGCTCGTCTTCGAAAAGCGACGCTTACGTCTAGCATGGCAATTTCACAGATCGCCATCTGCTAAGCAAAGCTTAAAACATGCCTCACGTCAACTTGCTCAAGCTCTACAGCAAGAAGAAACATATGTCCACCGTCGCTACATTGAGCAATTGTCAACCAATAGTACAAAACACTCACTATGGAGAGCTCACCCAACTCTGAGCTCACCGAAAGAAACCGTGATGCCTATTAGAAATTCCACAGGCGGATGGGCGCGCAGTGAAGCAGACCAAGCCAGCACGTTTGCCAACCACCTTAAAAATATCTTCCAACCAAATCCTGCCACTATTGCGTTTACATTGCCTACTCTATCATATGAGCCCCAGCCTCAACATGAGCCAATTGAGTTTCGCCCAAACGAAATCGTAAACATCATCAAAAGACAACTGAATCCGAAAAAATCCCCGGGCTGCGACCTCATAACTCCCAAAATGATCATTGAGCTCCCATACTGCGCCGTTTGCACTCTCACCCAGCTCTTTAATGCCATCGCTAGACTTGGCCACTTTCCAGTGAGATGGAAAAAGTCAGTTGTAATAATGATAGCAAAGCCGGGGAAAGTCCGCACTATCCCCACGTCGTATGGACCTATAAGCCTACTTTCTTGCCTATCTAAACTCTTTGAAAAAAGCCTAACTCGGATAAACACATACCTGAGAATCCAGGAAGGATCCCCGTCACACCAATTTGGGTTTCGTGAAAAGCATGAAACAATTGAGCAGGTCAATCGGATAACATCAGAAATTCGAAACGCTTTCGAAAAACGAGAGTACTGTACTGCCATATTTTTAGATGTCTCTCAAGAATTTGATAGAGTCTGGCTAGAAGGTCTAATGTACAAGATCAAGACAATGCTCCCCTACAGCACCCACAAGATTTTAGAGTCTTACCTTCACGACAGAAAATTTGTTGTGAGGTGCAACACTGCTATATCTGATGATTACACTGTTGGAGCTGGAGTTCCTCAAGGTAGCGTGCTAGGGCCAACACTATATGTCCTCTACACAGCAGACATCCCGACAAGCACACGTTTAACTACATCTACGTTTGCCGATGACACAGATATTCTTAGGCGTTCTAAATGCCCGATTCAAGCAACTGCGCAGCTAGCTCGTCATATGGTCGATGTTGAAAAATGGCTATCAGATTGGCGAATTAAAGTGAACGAACTAGAATGCAAACACGTTACGTTCACTCTGAACAGGCAAAACTGCCCGCCGATTACGTTAAACAACACTCTACTCCCACAAGCAAACGAAGTAACTTACCTAGGAGTACATCTCGACATGGCGCCGGCACATTGAAGCCAAAAGAACACACTTAAAGCTAAAAGCCAGCAGCCTTCATTGGCTTATCAACGCCCGGTCACCTCTTAGCCTTGAATATAAAATCATGCTGTACAACTTGGTACTAAAACCTATATGGATGTATGGCTCCCAGTTATGGGGGAACGCCAGCAATAGCAAAATTGACACTGTTCAGAGAGTTCAGTCGAAGATCCTGAGAACAATCACCGGGGCACCGTGGTACGTTCGCAACGAAAACATACACCGCGACATAAACATTCAACCAGTAAAAGAAGTGATCGCAGAACAAAAGGTAAAGTACTTCACCAAGCTATCGGTGCACCCTAACCACCTGGCGAGAGGTCTAACAAGCAATGACCTACCCACCCAGCGACCGACCTGAGGGACGCGCAACCAAAATGCAGTCTTAGTATACTGTTAGTTAAATTTTAATGTTAAGATTCGTCAACTTATTGTTAGTCTCAAAAGTAAGAGTAGATTCATTAAATACAAGCAAAGCTATAATAAAAAAAAAAAAAAAAAAAAAAAAATGTTTCCTAGCTGGGATAAAAATTACTGGAATGTAGGTGATTGTCAATTTAGACACTTGATTAAACTAATACCGCTAGTTCATTAAAAATACATTAACCAGACCATATGCTTTCGATATTTAAAATTTGTTAGAATTGAAACGATTTTTTCTACAGAACTTGCCCTCCTATGAAGACATAAAGCGAAGTGTTTTTGATGCCAACAATGAGGTGTAAAACATTCTAAATACTTCTGAATAAAATGTGCCAAAAAAACTGTGTTTGTTATGTATTGTTAAGACCTTTGCATATCTTATGTAAAGTTACTGTACTGCCTGCCAGCCTGTCTATCTGTCTTTCTGTTTCTCTATAAGATATTTAAAGGACAGAAAGGGCACCGGCACCCGGCTGACGGGGCCGGACA